CCCCCCCCCCCCCCCCCCCCCCCCCCCCCCCCCCCCCCCCCCCCCCCCCCCCCCCCCCCCCCCCCCCTTTTTTTTTTTTTTTTTTGGGGGGGGGAAAGTTTAAAAACAAATTTAGATGCCCAAAATAATTATTCTACGCGGACGAAGTCGCTGACATAGCTAGTGATCCGATCGATTCGAAATCTTTAATCCACCAAAATTTGTTTTTTAAATGAAAATTAATTGCTGTTAAGTAACCTCAATATATACTAACACTTGGCAAAGGCTTGACTTCTGGGTCTATATGATATCCTCCAATAGCCAAATAGTTTTGTGGCAGTCTCGTCGCTTCTCCAAGAGATGCATGCGAGTTTCCAAACATCAGAGATGCGTTGTATTTCAATTCTTCGATTGATGGCACAGGTTTGCTTTTGTCGTGGATGTGAGGAACGATATATTGCTTATACAGTTCTTCTACTCTTGGGGCAATGTAACTAGAAAAATAAATGACAAGTATATTAATAAGGGTTTACACTTTGTTTAGTTGGAATGTAATGAATTAAACAAGCTATTTTTTGTGTATGTATTTACATCCTAAGTGAATTTGCATTATTATAATGAGCCGTGCAAAGCATGCTTGTTTTGAACGACATTAAACTAAGGAATATAATTAACCTCGGACATTGAACGTTGTTTTTTGTGTTTGCTAATATATTTAAAATTCTTATAACCTTGATCTTCAAGATTCGTAATTCGTATATGCAATGTAGGTACTTATTTTTGTAGGAGTGGTGTTGGGCAGTTTTATTGTGATGGGAAAAAATAGAGACACTCGCGTCTAGGCTCCATACCTGATCGAAATTTAGTAAGACGTAACCAAGCAATATACTCTATAGGCGAGGTTCCTATCTCATCTGATGATAGAGTTGATGTAGGTCAGTTGCTATTATTGCATGTTGTATAGGGTTTTTTATCGTCTGATAAGTTAAATCTATGCTTTATAATATAAAAATCTGAAGAGTTTGTTTATTTATTTGTGTTGTGTTAATCTTAGGAACCACCGGTTCGAATTGAAAAATTCTTTTTGTCTTGGTTAGAGTATTTATCGAGGAAGGTTGAGTATTTATCGCGCTGTGATATCGGTGCAAAGAAACAGCAGGAAAGATGGCAAAGACAAGGAAAATTGTTCATCTTTTTGAGATTTTAACGGGACGCGGCTGACGTCGTGGGTTAAGTTTATAAAGATGAAGAAAAAGTTTGTAAAAACAAATCTGGATACCCAAATAACTATTCTACGCGGACGAAGTCGCTGACACAGCTAGTATGAACATATAAACTTACTAATAGTGTAACCACGAGCCATACACCTGGTCCCACAATTCTTCCAACCTTTCCCAGAAAGTGAAGGGTGGTGCGTTGTTAGAAGCGAAATTTGAGACGTACGCTGGGTTAGGCATGTCGTCCATAAGCTTTAGCACCATCCAATGAGGTTCAAATGAAGAAAACCATGCGTATGGACAATCGTATACTGCTGCAAGTCTGAAAAAGGAGTTGTTTTTAGTTTTTTTTTTCATGAAATAAACACAGTACAAATAAATCTTTAGGAGATGGATCACCAACATATATATACATAAAGACTTATATAGTAATACTTAAAGACTGATAATGAAACCTCAAAAAGTAGACAATATTTAAATATCCGACTGTGCAACGTATCTTCAATTGTAGAATTCATTATGCGTTTAAGCTTCAGAAGACTTCGTTTTGAATTCAAAACAAATATGACTGTGCTTTTAACGACGGAATACGCGCCTCCTTTAGTAAGCAAAGCTATGTGGATACAGCTGGGTGGATGCTCACCCGAGAGGCATGCGGAGGTACGCGGAACAAGAGGCCTTCGAAATGGACCCAAAAGCTAATAACAGGTTCGATTGGTTTGGTTCAATATTTCGTTTTCACCAAACATGTTAAGACGTTAACTGGAAATTCTAAGTTTTACGAGCAATTCACCGTCCTCAAATAGAATAACCGTAAAATCTAAATAGTAGTTTTGGTATTAACCTGCGGAAATGTCAACCGCATCGTGTTTAAATGTTATGTGGCTGGGCTTTACAATCTATCAAGTGTGCTCGTCTGTCTTCCTGTCGTGAAAAATATTTTGTGTATGTTACATTGTGAACTAACCCAGCAATTAAATCATGGAACAGCCATTCTGCAACAATGAGATCGAACTTCTGGCTACTGTCGCTCAACAGTCCCTGCATGGCAGACGATTGAAATGTCACTTTTCCGATCTCCACGAATATGTCCATCAGTACATACAATGACCGTAGATCAGTTTTTCCATCCATTAGATCTTTTACATTACACACATCTGTAATTTTAAAAATTGCAACTTTAAATTACTATAGATTTTATTACTGCTACTAAGTATCGTCTGTGTGTAGTTTACGCAAGTAGAACACATTTACATATATCACTTTGAAAATGCGAAATATTACTTTCCAAGTGAATAAAATCCCACCAAAATAGAATAAAATAAATGTTGAAAAGGAAGGCCAATTACAAATCAAAAATTATGATTGGTTCCTCCCTAAAAAGAATGGAGATCAAACCGAGTGCCAACTTCTGTGCAAAATCCAAGTATAGAACCTACCTACATAGGTACAAAATTTTAAACATAAGGCTTAATCAGTTATTATCAGCACAGGTCAAAAGTGGCATCAAATGGTTTGTATAAAGATGCACTTAGCACTGTCTAGCCAGTTCTTTTGGTTGAACTCGGCTTGACACCCTGTAGCATGTAGATCTGACCGTTTCGAAGCAAAAATTAGGTCTCTAAATATAAACGTATTACCACCTTTTAAACTGTAGAAAGGTTTTTTATATTATTGCTATTACTATATGATTATTTTTAGAATAGAAGCTCTAAAAATAATCATATGGAATTGATAGCAACCTAATTATATCTAATTAGTGTAGTTGTATCTACTACTGGTTTAGATACTATTATTGTTGCAAATCATTATGATAATTGTGTATTTTTCTGAAAAATCTTACCTGCCATAATTATGTTTTCGCTAACATCAATAATTGTTAAATTTTTCTGAGGTTTCGGCGGGAAAGGCGTAACATATGTAACCTTAAATAGACAAGTATTGATATTCTTTATTATTCCATAGGCCTTTGTTTAATGTAATGTTAGATACAAAGTCAAAATCAAAACAATAATTCTCGTATGTGACAACGCTTATGGACGTCACATCAGTCAAAAAGTAAAATAGTCTAAATTTACCTTCCAGTACTCAAATTGAAACGGTAGAAATAAATTCCATACTCTTATTTTCACCAAGTTTCTTATTCAAGTGGAAGGTAAATCAATTTGATGAGAAAAAGGAAACAAACAATTTCCCTATTTTAAATTATATGTCACTGGAAATGTATGAAGTCTGTCATAGTCCATCTGCAAACATGTAAGCAATATTGTTTACATGTAATTACACATTATGACTTTATTATAAATAAAAATCTACTTAGAAAAAAAAAATGATGACACGAGCGAGAATTGAACCGGCATCCACGATTTCCCGTGCTGCTTTCTAATGTTTTTAATCCAATTTGATTTGTAATTTCAATTACAACATATAAATACCTCGTGACCTCCGCTGAGTAAATGTTGAACCAACCCTTCTCCCAGAATTCCATGACTTTTACCCGGCAAAATCATTGTGACCAATATTTTGTAAGATTCCACATTATTGAACAACAGTATGGTAGCCAGGCAGGTTACATATATCGTCCAAGGTGCCATGGTCTAAAATCTGTCAGAAATAAATACTAGTATTATAATTAAACGTTAAAATTTAGGGAGTTATTATTATGGAATAATGTAAGTGGGTCAGGTTCTCCCCGTTACCACGGCTGCTGCAAAGCGTCCGATCTGTCGGGCCGTAGTTAAAATCATTTTGAAACAAGTTTAACTTCAAAGTATATCGGTTTTAAACTGTATAAGTGTTTCATTTAAATTATGTATGATATTTCATATATCTAAGTTTTTATTAAATTTACGAGTTTTAATAATAAAGATTTAAACTTACTTGTTATAAATATGTATTTTGTGTCCTTGAGTTTCACTTTTTCATATCGACTAATACGAAAATATATTTTAATTTGCTATTAGTAGGTAGTTACTACTACTTATAGAATTATGAGTTGAAAACCAGTCTATCGGATGTAATGTTCTGTATTTACGGAGTACGAATGATAAAGATTATGAGATAATAGTCTAAAGCGCACAGTCATTGTGTGAATACATACATACAATATAAAATACCTACTAGCCGACCCGACAAACGTTTTTATTGTTATACACTAGTAACATCGTGTTGGCTTATACCTGTTTTATTTGCGGAGCGTTCGTCCAACACATTATGTTAGTTTTAAAGGCCTATTTATAAGTAGTTGTTACGCTGATATTCAAACCCAGTACTGCTGTTTAACGCAATGCTAGGCTCTGTACGTTTGGTTATTTAAATCCATAGCAAAACGGATCGATTATTTTAGTAGTGCAGTAATTATACATTAAAATAGATGAGAGAGAGAGAGAGAGATTTATCCACACAAAATTTAATAGACAATGATCCAGCCGTATCAGAGTAATATGGCAACACACACTACAGAGCGAAAAACTGCTACGTATTAGTCAAAGTCTGAAATAATTTATCACGTTTGTAACTAGATACATTGATAAACGACCAACCAGTTAAAAACTAAAGAATCTAAAATGTTATTTTTCCAAATAGTTAACATCGTAATTATTTTAATAGGTATTAAGTTAAGAATATACATTTTTTCTTATCTATAAAAAGATTTGTATCAAATGACTACATTAGATTACAAAAAAATATATTTTTATTACAAATATGGATGACTAATGATGACGAAGTAGCTTATTATTTATGTTTGTTTCAGACGCTGATAAAAAAATTGATGTGTTATAGACGTATTGATGGATTATGTTAAATTAAATTATGTTCTGTTAATATTATTATTAAAGTGAAATGCGTAAAGGTGAATAAAAGTTTAGGGACGATCTTGGGAGGTGCACATAGCGTCGTCTACTAGTAGCCCCGTTTTGCCGCTCGCTAGGTCATGAAAACCACTTTCTCTTACTTTTTCAGCTGCCGCCTTCCGCATCATCAGCCCACACGTCCCAGAAGACTCGCACAGCTTAACTAAACTGGCTTCGGGAATCATACCTCAAACACATTTGCAATATGCTGGGCCACGACCGGTAAACATTTCTTTTGGGATGCTTTGAATAAGCCTAGCGTGATAGCGTTGGAGTCGGAGTGGCGGTAGAGCACAAGCTAGCAGTTTTCTTACAGACAACACTTCCGGCGCGAAGCCAGAAAACGCAGTGGACGGCAGCCCAGGAATTCCAGCCATATCAATTGACACGTCACTAGGACTATCAGAAACACTTGTACGCGATCTCGTTAACAAGTCAAGTTGACAAGTCTTATTTATACACAAGAATGCACTAAACTGTGATGTGACTAAGTTCTTAAACTTACAGACCGATCTTAATCCCGAGGTTACATGTGGGTACACATAGTAACCGATTAATCACGAATTCACAAATACATATAACACGGCAAAATTCTCAGTGCCTAGGTTCTGCACTTTCAGGGAATCTTCGTTGACTCACCGCTCCTGGTGTCATTCTTGAATAAAAAGGCACTCACTCACTTCTCGCCAATATCTTCGCCATCGTGTAGAGCCGCCATTAGAACCACGCCCACTTCGTTCGGTACAGGCGTCACCCACATTGCGTCCCGCGCTGTTTGATGTCGACTTTGTACCACCGGGCCCAGAAACACATTTCGTCCGCGTGGAATAGTTGTTCGACTTTGAAATAAGCATTGCATCTTACAAGTAAATTTTAAAAGACAGACCATCGTAGTCGTTCTTTATCGAAACGTTTTACTTGCGCACGCAACGGAAGCCTACAAAGATGAATAATTTTTCCATAACTTCTACTGTTTCTTCGCTTCTATTAATCGCAGAGTGATGGTATATCTATAGCCTAAAGCCTTCATCGATAACTGAGCTATACAACACAAAAATACATTTTCAATTCGTAGCAGTAGTCCCTGAAATTATCGCATGCAAACAAACAAACTCTTCAGGTTTATTATGTTAGTAGGTATAGATTGTCAATATTTCACTTAATCAGAATACGTATGCGAAGTATTAATTTAAGGTGATGACTGAAGTCCGTTATTTTTTGTTAAAACTATTTTATTTAACTTGATTTTAGTATAATTTTGTGCTAAAAGTCGGTGCCTATAATTCCCAGTCAGTTTCAAGGAAATAAATAATTTTATTATCAGAAGTAATGATGACGAAGTAAATTTTTATTCATCAATATTATGTTGTTAGTTTAATTACTAGTATAAAATGTTTTATATAAATGTAGTACACACTCGTGTTAACTAGGTATAATGAATATTTATTAAAATTGAGCTCAACACACTACTACTTCACTCCACTTTCTGTGTATGTTAAGGAAATAAAAAAATAATAAGTTTAAAGTTTTTTAATATCTTAAACACTTGCACAGGACACTTTTATGTAGGTCGAGAAAATAACAACATTCGTTCATAACTGATTTGTCGAAATTTCAATTGAATATTTGTTATTATTTTTTGATAACACTGGCAAGACAATTCATTTGGTAGAATAATGGTAAGCTCGGACGCGGAAGAAGAAATCTTACATTAAAATGGCGATTTATTTTACACCACCGATGTATAATTCAAATTATTACGATTTAAACTTTTGTATTCCGATTTTCATACAATCAAATCGAATTTATTTTCTTTAATTTCTCCCTTTCAGTCTGGATTTTCTTAATTTCTTTTCTTTTTGGTCTTTTCTGGTTGTTGTCTTGCTCCGGACAACAGTACCTTAGTAATTTTTGTTAAAAGTAAAACTATGACTAGAATAACAGCAAGAAGGTCAAGGAACAGCTTCTGGTACCAGGGTACTTGCAAGGCTGGAGACCGCAGATGTAAGGCTCCACGGGTCTTTATGACGTGGTCTACCCAATGTAAGATCTCCTTGCGGGGCGTTAAAGGTCTGTTATGGTAAATGTATGCTAATTCTTTCGCCTTGATTTTGTATCTGCAAGAAGTTGTACATTAATAAATGATACACAGACATGGTAGAGGAGGATCAAATTATAAAGTTCCTTAATCATCTGAATATATAATGTAACCACTAGATAGATGGAATTTAATGCAATGTTGCCACTTCAACGATCACATGTTTTTAAAACGTTAAAAGGGCTTTTACAGTCAATTCGCAACTACTTTTTTGAACTGTTGAGATATCATACCAACCTTTTAAATAAAACCTTTAACGGTTTAAAATATTAGTTAACTTAATTTTATTTGAAATGATTTTAATTCCCCGATTTCGGATGCTTTGCAGCAGCCTGGTCACGGGAGACAAATACCAACCGTTTCTTGAATCGATGTTTTTAAGTTTATAAAACGCTAGCAGTCAATTAAATACTCTTAATATTTGAAAACATTAATATTTTTTACATGTTATTGCACATGAAGGCACTATATAATTTAAAAATCGAAAATAAATTGAAAAAAATTTCGACTCGGGCAGGACTTGAACCGGAATCGTCACCGTTCCGTGCTGTTGCTCTACCAATTGAGCTACCGAGTCCTACACCTCATCGTCGAATTTTTTCAACTTATTGATACATGCACCTATCGCGCAATATAATTTCAACCGTAACACTTGCGTTTTAAGGTTTATTGTCTTATGCTTTGCAGCTTAAGAAATCATTGAACTTGAAATTACAAAGTTATAACGTTTGAAAACGTAGAAATTCAATTGGTAGAGCAACAGCACGGAACGCTGACGATGCCGGTTCAAGTCCTGCCCGAGTCGAAATTTTTTTCAATTTATTTACAATTTTTAAATCACTCTTAATATTATTGTACTGAAGAATGCCATTATTATTACAGATACTTACTTCGGATCTGTAAGCATCTATATCAGCTTTCTAGATTGTTCTCCATAGTGTACGAGAGATCCACTTTGATAGCGTACCCCTTCTTAACCGCTCGATCAGCATTCACGAACTGGTCAACCATGACCGGAATACTAATCATGGGTACTCCGAAGTGAACTGACTCCGTCGTCGATAGAAGCCCGCCGTGAGAGATAAAGAACAAAGTCTTTGGGTGTGCTGAAAATTAATATTAAAAATATGAATAAAAGATTTAAAAACTTAGTGCATCTTAATTAGATGTTAAAATAGTTATTTAACCAGTGCTACCGACTATTGTAGAGACTGCCTCCTCCTTTATCAATATCTAGCAAAAATAAAAATATTAGGTTTTGAGTATTGCCTTCATAAGTATTGTTATTTTAGCAGCAACAAAATTCCACTGTCTAACTCCTCTGTCAATACCTGGATTCAGATGGTGTGACAGAGTCCGAGAAATATCTTTGATTTATAGGACCCTGAAACGTCAAGCTTAAAAGCATCAAAATCAAAATATTTACCAAGAATACTCTGCTGAGGAGCCCAATGTACTATATGCACGTTTTTTGGCCTATTTGGTAGATCTCTCTCAAACTTCCAAATGACCGTTTGCTTCAATTTAGCAAAAATGTTCAGGAGTCCTCTTGTTAGAGACTCGGGGAGATCTTGACTCTTCAAATTTGATCCCATGCTGAAGTATATTACGCCATGCTCGGCACTTTCCATTATTTTCTTTAAATCCTGAAAAGAGTTGCAAATTCGAGTAAGAATTTCACTAAACTTCTTCCTTTTTGTAGTTTTTATTGAATATAATTTCAACTCTATACATGAGTATATAACTCATATCCGACAAATTTAAATTCGTTAATTCAATTGAAGATGTATTTGGCTGTAGCGTAATGACAATATATACTAACACTTGGCAATGGTTTGACTTCGGTATCAATATGAAACCCTCCAATAGGTATATAGTTTTGTGGTAACCTCGTCGCTTCTCCAAGTGATACATGCGAGTTTCCAAATATAAGAGATGCGTTGTGTTTCAATTGGTCAAGAGTTGGCACAGGTTTGCTTTTGTCTTGGATGTGGGGAACGATATATTGATTATACAGTACTTCTTCTCTTGGAGCAATATAACTAGAATAATAAATGACAAGTATATTAATAAGGGAGTTTTATCTCATCTTATATAATAATAATCTTCAGGTCGCGGGTTCGAACCTCAGCAGTTCCAACAATAAATTTATAACTTTTCTGAAACATGTTGTTGGACATTCTTTGGAAATCTGGTTGTTAACCACAAACCACCTTCCACACATAAAGTCGTGAGGTTTATCTCGTGAATTAACCTATTGAGCTACAGTATCGCACCACGGTTAGTCAGATAAATTCGAGAACAATTTATCAATTAAAACGGCAGAAATGGCCCTGAAAGTAAATGTAGTTACATACGAAGTGTTTTATTTACATTTTATTATTATAAACATACAACTAAGGAAGGAGAGAAGGCTTCTTTTATTAGCTAATATATGTAATATTACTGCCGGCACTGAAAAAATGTAAGACGTAGTTTTTAACTCGTATGTGTAGACAGCCTGCAATCTCGCCTGGTGTATCGGTTTTATGATCATCGGGCAAGTAGAATATGATCAAAATCAACTTACTTATAAATTAACCAAGAGCCGTACAGCTGGTCCCACAGTTCTTCTAACCTTTCCCGGAAAGTGAATGGCGGTGCGTTATTAGAAGCGAAGTTTGACACGTACGCTGGGTTTGGCATGTCGTCTATAAGCCTTAGCACCATCCAATGAGGCTCCAACGAAGAGAGCCATATGAAGGGACAGTCATAAACTGCTCCAATTCTAGAAAGGAATCGTTTTAGAAAGTATGCTAAATTGAAGTGTTAACATTAACCATAAGTGTCGAAACAATGCTAAAATATTTTTTAAACGTGCGTTATATTGAATTCCAGAAGAGTTTTGAATCCAAAGTCGTTTGGTCGTGTTTGTGGCTAGATCGAGGATGCTCCGAGAGCTCATCGGTCTTGTCTTTGACCATCTCAACGTGGGAGCTAGTAAGCTGAATGGAGGACGTACCATTCCCTTAGTTGCTTAACCAGAAGGGTAACATTTTCGATCGGTAACAATGAGATTTTACGAATGACTGTCGGACAGTAATTAATGTAGTATGAATCTAGTTTCGAATAGTCGCGAACCTCTCACATTACTAAAAAACATTTTGTTTTTTACGAAACATGTTATATTGGCATGAAACAAACCAAACACCACCACCGTCCACAAATAGAAATAAACTGTAAATCCTATTTTATTTAGTCGGTTTCAGCCTTTGGAAATTTCCAGCGTCTTTCCAGGTATCATAAAAATATATTAAGTGTATGTATCTATGTGAGCTAACCCCGCGTTTAAATCGTGGAACAGCCATTCTGCAACAATGAGATCGAACTTCTGGCTACGGTCGCTCAAAAGCTTCTGGACGGCAGACGATTGATATGTCATTTTCCCGATCTCCACTAACAAGTCCATCAGTATATACAAAGACTGAAGATCAGTTTTTCCATCCATCATGTCTTTCACATTACAGACATCTGTAATGTGAGAAATTAAATCAATATTAATTAATCCTCCATCTTAGTCTCCCCGTAACCACGGCTGTTTGCAAAGCATAAATCATCTCTAAAGAATAATCATACAGTTTTTATTAAGAGCAAAGATATTGACTCTTATTGATTGTTGGTTCGAGGCCCGCCTGAGTCGTAAATTCGTCAATTTATGCCGTCATGTTCATTATTAATATATTAGTAATCAATTACTTGTATTGGCAGTTCCAAATCATTATGAATTTTGATAAAAAGAATATTGCTTTCCGGAAAACTTACCTCTCATAACTACTGTGTTTTCACTAACATCAATAATTGTTAAATTTTTTTGAGGTTTCATCGGGAAAGGTGTTATATATGTAACCTTAAACAAAAAAAATGTACATGCACTTATTAAGCGCAAAGAAGGCGCACAGCGCCCGGGGTTTGATGCCCAGGGAAGCAATTAATTGTTACCATCGGGCAGGGTACGATTAAATACAATCTTTTAGACTGAATAACAATGAAATAAGTTTATCACGTGCCACAGGGGCTAGTGGAATGCCGCTACTTTTAATTGCAGAGAATTTTCAATTATATTAATTGTAAAAACACTATCGTAAAATATATGACAACATATAAAGACCTCGTGACCTCCGCTGAGCAAATGTTGAACGAAGCCTTCTCCCAGAATACCATGACTTTTTCCCGGCAAAATCATTGGGACCAGTATTTTGTAAGATTCCACATTGTTATACAACAGTATAGTAGCCAAGCATGTTACATATACCGTCCAAGATGCCATAGTCTAAAATTTCAATGAATAAACAGTTACAAATAAAAATAATTAAATACATGTTTAAATTTCTCAAATATTTAAGTCCAATTTTTCCCCTAAGTTTTCCTAAAAACAATTGCTTTTATTATTTTTATGTATACTTACTTGTTTAATACGTATTTTTGTGCCCTCGAGTTTCACTTTTTCATATCGACTAATACCAAAACATTTATTGAATCGCTATTAACACAACAAATCTGTACAAATCTGCCTATCGGCTGAAACGCACAAAATGTTATGAGATATATAACTACTCACTATCATTAACATAATGTTCCGTATTTATGAAGTACGGATGATAAAGAATATGATATAATAGCCTAAAGCACACATACATTGCGTGAAGATATAATACCTATTAGTTGACAAGGCAAACGTTTATGGTTGTTATACTCTATTGAACTTCGTAGTGGTTGATAGTATCTAATGTCCTGGTTTTCATCTGCGTAGTATTCGGCGGACACAATTGTATGTTCGCTTCACAGATTTATTTATCTGTTACTAGCTGTGCCTGCGACTTCGTTCGCGTGGAATAAAGACTTGGGGTAGAATTTTTAATTATTTAGGCTGTTTATTAATGTATATAATTGCGCATTTATCGCAGCCAAACTATGTTGTAACTTTGCCGCAACACTCTCACCTCACATCACTCCTACTCTAACTCCCACTCCCAACCCCAACCCCATAAAAAGTATGTCCATGTCCTTTCTCAGGGTCTAGATATCCATATGTGTACCAAATTTCATTCAAATTTGTTCAGTAGTTTTGGCGTGAAAGAGTAACAGACAGACAGACAGAGTTGCTTTCGCATTTATATTATTAAAGTAAGGATTAGTAAGGATAAGCAATAGGTTTAGTGGCCTTTGGCAAACAGCTACGGATTCAAAATGGTAGGTTGTTATAGGCATGTATCAATGCTAAATTATAATAAGTTAACATTAGATAATGTTCAAAACCATTTGAAAAATTTGCTATTTTATTGTTAAAGCATTTCTAACATTTACAAAATTTCATAGAAAATAGTCCAGCCGTTTTGGAGTAGTATGGCGACAAACACTTTTATTATTGGACAAAGTCAGAAATCATTTATTTACGTAGTTAACTAGATACAATTATAAACCAAGTACAAAACAGTTAAAAACTAAAGACTAAAATTAAGATAAATATAAGTAAATACTGTCTATAGTTTACGCGAGTAGTACACATTTAAATAAAACACTTTAACGGTTTAAAACGCGCGTTTTCAACCGTTAAAGTGTTTTATTTAAATAAATATAAGTAATTCACACCACAATGTATATTAATTGTTAAAAGTTAAGTACGTACAATTATTTCTAATCTATTTAAAAATTTTATCGATAGACAGATTATATAATATTATGTAAATTTCTATAGTTTTATTTGAGAATAATGATGACGAAGTAGATTCTGTATTTATTATTTATGTCTGCTGTTCCAAGCGCTGATAAGAGATTTGATAAAGAAAAGGTAAGTTGTATACTCGTAAACACTCAGCTAACACTAAGACGCTAGTCAATGTATGTAATTATTTTACATATTGTGAACTAACCATAAAGGTTACCTATATTATATAACATTAGATTTTTAACGGAAACTTGATTGCCCTATCAAATAACTTATCCATATAAGAAAATCAAGAAAAGATAATTCGTTTACTGTTTGCAAACAATTTATTAAGTAAGTAAATTATTTGGAAATTAAACACGACGATTTTCATAATGTCTATGTAATTATTATTACAAGCACAATGTTACATTTACATTCGATTTGAAAATTATTCACTTAAATTATTATTAATACTAGGATCAAATAAGTTTTACCGTCTTCAAAAAAGGGGGTTCTCAATTCGATACGTATGTTTTTTTATGTTTGTTTACGCATAACCGAATATTGTTTACGAACCGATTTTAATAATTCTTATTTTGTTCGAAAGCAGATTTAAAGTAATGATGACGTAGATTTTGTATGTTGCCTTATAATAATAAATTCATGTGTTATAACTACTAGGTTCCTCCTTTTTTTAACGATGATTAAAACGTTTGGAGCTCAGGGCATCAAATACTAACCGTTTGCCGGCTATACCAAGGGTGCCCCGAGGGGGGCGTTGACACATTAAAATTGTTTAATATAAAAGCGATATATCTTAGTTAAACTTGTTTGAAAATTAATTTCCAAAACTAAACTATATCGCGTTTTAAATCGTTAAAGTGTTTTATTTAAATGTGTACTACTGGCGTAAACTAGACAGTATTTGTTTAAAATAATAATCTGTTGTCTTTGAATTATTTATTTACATTTAACATGTTCTTGAAACCGGTTTTATACTATGTAGCGTAGTTTGTAAAACCGAGAAATCATTGTCATACTACGCATTTGGAAGTTATAATTTGGTAATTAACTACTGAGCAACAGCTGTTAGCAACTGAGTCCTGCCTGTTTCGTATTTTTTTTATATAGTTCCATGATGTCCAATAACGTGTGAAAATATAAATAATATTCTATAGTTTACGCAGTAGTACACATTTAAATAAAACACTTTAACGGTTTACAACGGCCAGTTTCGCCAAATACCAGCTTCGACGGAACAGATGGCGCTAGCGTAGCAATTTTTTACTTTGACGTCAGAGACATCCTCCATCTTTAGTCTCCCCGTGACCACGGCTGCTGCAAAGCATCCGAAACGTCGAGCCGAAGTTAAAAATTATTTTCAAATAAGTTTAACTAATATATCGCGTTTTAAACCGTTAAAGTGTTTTATTTAAATATAAAGGTACTCAAAAATAAACGACTGGTTATTAATCTATAGTCTTTATTCGTGTTTCTTAAGATCTACGGGTGTCTTACGTTTAAGAATCTTTATTGCGACATAAACTATGGTACTGAGAAGAAGTAAAATAAATGTGAGAAGATCTAAGTAGTACTTTTGGTAGAAGTGCAAACGCATGGACACTGAACGAAAGTGTGGTGCTCCTCGCGTCTTGATGACGTGTTCGACCCAATGTACCAATTCCTGGCCTGGGGGTACCACATGGGAATGGAAAACTAACGACATTTCCTTCGCTCTTTGACGATATCTAAAAAATAAGATAATTATTTATATTATAAGATATTCATAGGGAATAAGAATGAATGGATCATCTTTAGTTTATACTAGTAGTACAAACTTTAAACACTCAATTTATTTAAATAAAACACTTTAACTGTTTAAAACGCGATATATTAGTTAAACTTACTTGGTCACGGAAAGACTGTGACCCCGTGACCACGGCTGCTGCAAAGCATCCGAAATGTCGGACCAAAGTTAAAAATCATTTTCAAATAAGTTTAACTAATATATCGCGTTTTAACCGTTAAAGTGTTTTATTTAAGCGTGTACTACTCGCGTTAACTATAGATAGTAATCACTTAATTTATCTTATTTAAAACGCGATACCGCGGTCCCGAGGGCTTTTAGCATGCGAAACATTGGGTCGCAGTTAGAATAAACTAAAAAAATTATTTCAAAAAAATATTTAAAACAAAAAATTACTTAAAAACATTACATTAAGACAATGGGTTTGTTTTATTTCAATATTAAGCCATTAAGTTATGGGCCATAACTTTTAAAATAAAATTGAACTTTAAGAATGTTACACATGCTTTGGTGAATAATAAAAATATTAGTAACAAATCTCTATAAAACACAGTAAACTCCGAAATATATATTTAATTGGTTTGTGTAAACTTTAGAAATTTCATTAATTGTTATCTTTTTATTATTTTTAGTGTTAGACCGTAGAATTTTTTTTATTTGAATGTATCGCATAATGTACTCGCATAAACTACAGACATTACATTAGAAACATATTTACTATAATACTCCAGAAACCAAAGCTTAATAAGAAGTTAACAGAAAGTAAATGTTGTAAAGTAAATTGATTTGAGTAATTTGACTCGCGATTGAGAACATCGAACTTACTAAATTTTGCTAAAAAAATTAATAAGGCTCTTTAAAATTGAAGCAAAAATTTTTCAAATTAATAACTGAACAAGTCTAAAAACAATATTATACTTGTAAATAAAGACTTGTATACTTACAAAGGATTTTCTATCATTTCCTTAATATACTCCACTAGTTGACTAACAGGCTGTTCTCCTATGTCGAATCTCTTCGCGAATCCTTTAAGCACAGCTCTGTTTATGTTGGTAAACTGGTCGCCAAACATTGGTATTCCAATAAGCGGTACACCAACATCCAGTAATTCATATAAAGATAGTAGTCCACCGTGAGTTATAAACAAAATCGTATTTGGATGTGCTGAAAGAAACAAAGTTGTTTGTTTAGGAATACCGTCTGAAAACTGATTACTGCTGTTTGCGTTCTGCGCAACCATCCGCGCAAACTTCAGCCCGGCCAAAGAGTTTGGAGAGCACTGTAACCTAAGTATACTCGTAAAATAAATTCACTGATTTTGATTTGGGAATAAACATGACTTAATCATCGTGATTATGAAATACACCTTTCCATTGAACGGAATTTTAGGATTCGGACAGCACGGTCGGTCCCGGTTAGGCTGTTGGTTTCGGTTCTCATCACTAATTTACTGGTTGTTAAAGTCTGCTGACCTGCACTGCAGCAGTATGGTTGCTCTAAAACCCTAACCTATGTTACACGAGACGTGTGCCCAGCAGTTGAATAAAAAATGGTTTTGTAGTCACCGTCGCGTAATATCTCTACCACTCTACCTTCGTGGTTTATTAATTGCCCCATGTATGGAGCAAGAGTTATTACATTACATCTTACCTAATATACTTTGCTGCGGTGCCCACTGCAATACGTGTACGTTCTTTGGTACATTTGACATAGGCGTCTCGTGTTTCCATACTACCGTTTGCTTCAACTTGCTGAAGGCCGTCAGCAATTCCCGTTTCTTCGCCTCTGGAAGGGCACTGCTCCTCAGCATTGTACCCAAACTGAAGTATATGACACCATCCTTCGCTTCGTCCATTATTTTTTGCAAATCCTTGAAAAATCAAACAAAGTTCATAGTTATAACAAAATTCTGTTTACCTGCGACTTCGTCGTGCGCTTCGTGCTGCTCTAACAAGACTTAAACTAATTTAAGACTGTAAAATGACACTTGGCGGTAAAAGGAGTGGCGGCGAGTTTCTTGCCAGTTCTTCTTGTTCGTTTTACGCCACTGATTTGAGAAGATGGTAGTGAATGTAAATTTAGAGTCTTTAGTGTTTAACTGGTATGACGTTCACATTTGTAACTAGTTATCTTCGTGAATAAATTATTTTTGACTTTGACTTTGACATTGCATGAACATTATAATTAGGAAATAAGTAATAAAAGATAATGGTTTTTTGCAAATCCCTAATTGCTGGGGGTGTCAAATTCTTAGAGAGTTTGTAATATGCTGCGTTCTAAATATATTAAGATTGATTTTTAGTTAGATAAGTTTTATTTAATGTTTAGACGAGAATTGTTGGCGAGTCGTAATCATTTAAATAAAACATTTTTAACTTTTTCAAAAGCGAAACAATAGTGAAACACATTTCTTCAACTACAACTCAATGTTTCTGTTGCTTTGCAGTAGTCGTAGTCACGGGGGGACTAGAGATAGAGAGCGAGATTTGAAATTGACGACACACAACTAAGTTTTCCTCTTAATTGTTATTAAGGCCGGGTCATATTTGAAATGAATAATAAGTAAATTTCACGTTTTAAACTGTTAATTTTTAAATTATAAAAATGGTAATGGTGATTAATGACACGTTATACCTTTGGCAGAGGTTCCATTACACCTTTGAGATGATATCCTCCAATCATCTTGTAGGCTTGAGGAAGTGGATATGATTCGCCGGCAGCGATGTGGCTGTTCCCTAGCATGATAGAAGCGTTGAATCTGACTTCATCGAAGGAGGGCAGACGTCTTCCTCTCAATTCAACGGCCGTTCGGTATGCTTGTTCAAATATTAAATTTTCTGGCTCTACGTATGTCCTGAAACGTATTATAATGTTAAATTAAATCATTGGGTCGGAGGTTCGATTTTTATCGTATCCGACATGTTACTAAGCAGAAATGTAACACCTTTAAACACATGTAAGACTGGTCTTGAAAAATCTGGACATTCAATTGGTGGTAGGAATAGCGAAATCCGCCAAATCACGAACCACCACGTTCATAGGTGGAAAAATCCTAATTAATTAAATTGTTCGAGTTTAATCGCGTTTCTGTTTCAGTCTATGTGTCCAAACTCGAAATATCTAGATGTGTTTTATCTTCCATGAAGTGAAGCCCTCGCTTGCCCTCAATATTTACAAGATTACAAAATTTTTCATTCTTATGAAGAAACTGTAACTTATCTTTTTATACATAGAGTATTCTGCGTTCCAAAGGAATTTGTAGAGAAGGTAAACAAACAGTTCATATACCTATTCGGTATAGTGATATTTATGGCGATATGACATAAAAACATCGATTTTCATTCATTACTACGAATTATTTAAACTTTAAGATAAATAAGTTTTTGAAATTCCCATTACTTCAGCCGATTTTTTCAAATAAAAATTCTTCTCTTTAAACGGTTACTTTAGTGTTTTATTTAATTATTTTTCGAAACATTGAACACGTTAGCGGCAATCTTTTTTTCGAAAATAATGATGATGTGAATGAATGGACTAGGTTTTTGAAATATGTTAATGTTAATGTCACATATTTCATTCTTTCAATATTGTAAAATTCAATATTATAACTATGTCGAATTTTGTTTATTAAAACCTTACAAGGTTCTGTCTTTTTATTTCCGTCCATTTAAAGTTTTATTTGCCCCAAGTTTTTTAATTCAGCTGTAATACTCTTATATTTTTGCGAGTCACAATTATAACAGGATGTTATTTTCTGTCTTTCAATTGTTTGTGATAATCGTAATCGCTATTCGATACTTCATAGGTATCGATTATCGATTTCCACAATACTCTCATTTTAAATCGCTTATGTACCGCAACAGTCTTTCCACAGAGAATGTTTGTTGTAACATAATCTGTGGAAAGAGAATGTAAAGAATGACAATGGCGGCTTTTTACGATACATTAAGTATTTTATTTTAAGATTTAAAAATGTTTGTAAAACTACAAAATTACTGAAAATGATGAAATTATTTAAGAAATGTGTGTGAATAGTGTCATGTCAGCCAGTGAATACCTAATGTAGAATGGGACGAGAATCGTTCGTTTTTTGGCGGCAATTCAGGTGATTAATGTTGGTTTACAATTTACATTTTCTACAAATTCAGTCGGAACTCAGTAGAGTTTAATTTCGATACTTAACTGTAAAACAATAATATATACTTACCATTTATTATACTTGTTCTCCAGGTAAGTCCATAAATTTTTGAATCGATACAAGGGAGATGAGAAATCTCTGTCCCATATATTGATTGCATACGATGGGTTCAAATCGTCACCAATTAGAGATATTATACCGGAATGGACTTCTGTGGATGTGGACCAAATGAGGGGACAGTTAAAGACTGTCGACAATCTGGAAAGTGTAAGGTCTTAGCATTGGTTTTTCGAGGTGTCCGTCTGAATTACGAATTGAGAAAATGTTCGCTACATTTAGCTGTCGCGAGTGGACGACGCCATCGAGAGACCGTGCGTGTCTCGTCCTTCTAATTTTCAATGACATTTGGCGAAATTTTAATGAATAATGTAAGTCCAATAAATGATTAACGGTTTATTTACGCAAAAATTTTAATCTTATTTGGTTGTGAAAAATGTTTTTATGTAATAGGTACCTATTACGATTAATTTGTTATTAGAAACTATTTGGATATTACACCATCGCTTAAAGGTAGCATTTTTTACAAGAACTTGAAATTCAAAACTTTCTATTGCCATTAACATAATTATAATAACTTATAGCTAAATTGGGTAAATGAAAAATATATATAAGTAACTAATACATAAGAAATGCCAATCAGTACTAGTCTCAGCCAAAAAGGTGCCTTTGCAAAAAGGAGTCATAAGTACTAAAAGCTACTTTTTAGGGTTTCTTAACTAAAGGATAAAAACGAGAGCTACTTAAACGGTTACTTTCGCAATAATTCTATAAGCGGCTGACGCCGACAATTGGTACATTATGGGATGTGATGGTGAGATATCTAGTGCTGCTTACCTACTTAAAGACGATTATTCATGCAATAACTACAAAGCTCTCTCTGTAGTTTACGCGGGTAGTATACATTTATATTTACACTTTAAGCGGTTTAAAACGCATGCCGTCATGACAACGACTGATGCAAAGCATCCGAAACGTCGGACGGTATTAAATACAAAATAAGCTAACTAATATATTTTGCGTTTTAAACCATTACAAGTATTTTATATAAAAGCCCAACCCAGCCTACGGTAAATTTTAATAAAAATAGTTTTAAAAATCGGTAGCTCAATTGGTAGAGCAACAGCACGGAACGCTGACGATGCCGGTTCAAGTCCGGCCCGAGTCGAATTTTTTTTCACTTTATTTTCGATTTCTAACTTATACAGTGCCTTCATGTGCAATAATAACATGTAAAAAAATAATAAAGTTTTCAAAAATAATTTTATATTTTAATTTACGGTAGCTTTTAAATCTCACAAGTCCGCACTATAGCATGGTGGGTCTAAGTTCTAAGTATTTGTAGGCGGGCATGAAACATTATGACATCAGAACAAAAATACGTTTTCATATAAATAATTACCCAGAGCCGAGTTCAGAGTAAAGCCATTCTACTATGACGACGTCGTACTCTTCTTTCGGGTCATGTAGGAATTTATGCATAGCCTTTCCATGTAGGGTCCCATTGAGAAAATTCCGTAATACGACCTCGAATAATGAGATTTGTTGCAAGTCCAATTCCTTATACATAAGCTTCTCAATGTTGAATAGTTCTTCTGGAATAAAAATTTGGGAATAATTTAAATAAAGCACTTTTGACGGCTAGAAACGCGAAATAATTAATTGGCTTATTTTTTAATTAATGTTACTTCGACTCTACACGATTTTCTACTTGCCTTTATTTAAAAGTTATTGTCATATTAAACAATCACAGTACCTGATAGTAGACCCGCTGTTTCGGAAATATCTACTTGACGAACACGTGCTGGTGGGGTTTTTATTGGTATGGGTGTTATGTACGTCACCTACAAAATGTCAGAAATAAATAAGTCATCAGCAATCCATAGAGTTCCTAATCTTGAGATACAGGCCGCCTTGGAGACTATATTAATCTCCCATTATGGCCAAATGTGTCATACCCATTGCTTGAACCAGCAATGTAGGTTTTTGGGGATAAATTTGAAAAGGCATTCAAGGGTCCTTTCATCTTATTCCTTCTTGAGAAACATTTAAGGCAAATTCAATAAAAAAATAGATCTATTTTTTATCATCAGCATCTAGATTTTGTGCAGTTGCACATGTGCCATCTTGCAGAAACACTTTTTATTTAAAGATGTTTTATGAGTCTTAAGACGTGAGGTACTTGTGTATGTTTGTCATGGAATTAGTGATTTATATTATCTGCAGCTTTGTGCAGTGCATGCAGGTAAATCTAAATGGCGTTATTGTCGGCCGCTTTGCGCTTATTCAAATATTATTAAAATCGTTGGTATGTAAAATGTACGCGAGTTGAATTTCTACTATAAAATTATTATTATTAACTTACTCAGTTTAAAAAATTTACTTAATTTTTAACTTTATTCTGGCAACAATATTATGGTAGTTGGTAAGCAAATTTGAACTGCTTATAACGCGAAATATATTTAATTTAATTTTGATTTATTTTACCGACGTTTTGAACTGTATGATAGTTTCAAGAAAGTGTTTTTATGTAATACTTACTAGCTGTGCCCGCGACTTCGTCAGTGTGGAATTCTAATTTTGGGCATCATATTTATTTTTGCAAACGACCGCCTTAGCTTTATAAATTCTAGTTATTACCCAGGACGACGTTCTTGCGAGTTCATCTTAAAAGATAGGCAAATACTATCGCGGTCAATTTTTACATCACTTAAGAAGAATCATTCTTTGATAAATAACTTTTTTTTCGTTTCTTGAATCGTTTTCGAATCTGAGCACCCTACGGACCTAGGGACAATTTTCACCGTTTTTTTCCACATCTTTATTGGCCGCAATTTGTTTCACAGCCTAAAGGTTTCGTCGATAACCGCGCCATCTAACGGAATTTTTCAATTCGAATCAGTAGTTCCTGAGATTAGCGCGTTCAAACAAACAACAAACTCTTCAGCTTTATAACATGTATTAGTATAGATTTTTTTTGTTGAATAACGTCGACTTATGTGATGGAAAAATATTTTATATTTAATAGCGTTTAGAATATAATCATAAAAATATATAAATGCCACTTAAAGATACCCTGCTTCCTTACATCATACTTAGTAAATAATAACGACATATAATAAGAGGTACAAAAAATCGTAATATGGCTTCAAGTACATTGCTCTGATCGTTTGTTTGCTGTGTCAATTGTCACAAATTATCAATAATTGTATAGTTCCTGTATACTATGTATTTTGTAGTTATGTTTGACCTTGAAGCTCTAACAACATTATTGCACATTAATTTTCCATTTAATATCTTTGTTTACTAAGTTGACCTGTGTAACGCGTTACGCTGTATTTATTTGGCTTTACAATAGTTGAATCATAAATTTACCGGAGAGCACTACGCATAAACTAGATCTATAAGAATACTATGTTAACGACAGATACTCATGTATAGATAAGAAAGTATAAGCTATTTTCAAAGGCTTCCATGGGTATGAACGTTTGACAGAAACAGACAAAGAAACATAATATAAATATATACAGACTATATTTAGATATAACTAAACTACGATAGCAACACTGTGGACAAGATCGCAGATTAACTTAGTAAGTAAGTATCAAAAGATAAACAACATAAAGATAAAAACGATAATAAATGTGAGATACGTAAATCTAAGGAGATAAGTTACATTGCGCCAACATATTAAATATAGGGTTTAGTTATTTCTTCGAATCTTGTATTTGAGAATTTATTTATATATTTTTTTATGTTAGAAGTAGGTATGTATTCCCAGCCATCTAAACAAGATGCGCCGTCGACCGATTTTGGCTATGTTCGGTCGGAGATCTACAGATTGAAATTAAAAAATTAAACTTCACGAATTTGTTATCTGTGGACGGTGGTTCGTGACCTGGACGGAATATCGATATTTCTATTTTCTACCATCCAGTAATATTCCAGACGAAGTCCAACATGTTCAGCAATATTTTTAAATGATTAGAAAAACGTTGGACCCGGTGGAAATCGTTGATTTTATTTTTATACTTTTACCAATACACCAAAGAGCCCATCCAATAATGTAAAGGAATATATACGCTATCTCGGGGGCGTGAATGTGCCTAATTACACATTTTTCGTGTCTAAATAAATTATATTGATAAATACAGTTTTATTTGCTAATTCTCATTTATGTTATCTTTGTATCTACAACGTGCGTCAGTTCGTGAAAATATACTTCGACTTTATTTTTTTTTGTCCTAAAAAGTAACTACCTCTTTCAAATTTTTTTAATGATAATTTTTGTTTTTAATTTTCACTTACGTTACATGGAAAGTCTATCAATTAACAATATAATGCCTTATCAGACCCTTAGCCTCTTACGATGACTTTATGCTGAGGAAATAAACTAACAGATAACAAACCAATAACATATACCTACTACAAGATTAATTTATAGTTCAGTAATTTCTGTTAAGTTTTTTTTGAATGTTTTGCTTAAGAAAACATAAACTATAGTTTGGTATCGTTCCTTTGGACCTATTTAAAATAGCGTATCCTTGATCTCTGCGTGGCGAAATGCCGTGAACCTTTTACTATATTCTTTAATGAATTTGAAAATAATTAATTCTGTATGCATTTTACCATCAAAAACTAATCTAGAGAAGATATTTATTAAAAACACAGAGGAAATCATTAAAGATATAAGAAAATCAAAGATTTAAAACATAAATGTAATCTGTGTTGTGATTTAATTTGGACTTTGTTACTGAAGCAAGAAATTTTTAATATACACTGAAATTACATAGCACTTATAGATTTTTTTTCTTTTTGGAAAATATTCTTAGTAACATAAAGTTAGAATGACGTATTAATTAACATAAAATTCTTAACATTCCGTTTTATGTAATTAATAACTCGACGTACTAGGAATGTAACTTTTAAAAGAATACTCGTTGAAATGTATGTTTACATTAACTATTCTGATTTTAAAACATTAATTTAATTTAAATCCATTTCATCCCACTCTTACGATATATTTTCGGTCAATCATCATTTATAATTCCGTAGATTTTTATTGCGATCAATAATGTCAACGTCAATTAACTTTAATATTTTTCACTTTATTGCAAATGATGACACTATATAAATTAAAAATCGAATATTTATAAATTGAAAAACAAAAAAATAATAATTCTTAAATTTGTTAGACCAATAGCACGGTTCGCCGTGGATGCCGGTTCAAGCCAGGAGTCGTATTTTTTTTCAATTTGTAATCGATTTTTAGTTGAACATTAATTAAGCTTACCTCGTGCCCGGCGTTTACTAAATGGCGTATATAAGCCTCTCCCAATATCGAATGACTTTTCCCTGGTATGGGAAAAAATAGTAACACCCTGTATCCATCACATATACTAAGAAAAGCGAGTAACGTCACAATTAACATTATAGGATCGCGGACAAGAGCAGACTGTGATTATTTACAGCAAGAGTTTGTTTGCGAAACGTGCCATGGCATACGACAACAGGTATGCTACTTTAAAACAATTAAATAAACAGCCTTTATTATCTCATGATCAATGCGTCGCTTAGGCGGCTTGTGGGCTGTGGCTTAGACTACTTGTTAAGAGAGGACTTAGTAATAACTATAAAACGAACGCAAAGTAATAAAGACTACTTATGTAGTATTCCATGTCTCCTAGGTAAGGCAGAAGGCGTCTCATATCTCATAAATTTATGGCTTTCGAATTTTATTAACATTTCGTTGCTAATTCGATTGTGGCCTTATTCTTGTATTCAACAATAACTACAACTGCAGTGGTCCATGCTGTTCCTCCACAAACGGGTCAAAAGTATTTTATAATCTACTTAATATAAAGTGTTTCTTATAGTTTTATGTAATATTAAAACAAACCGCTACATTGTTCCTCTTCCATTCCATTGTCTTCAGCGAATTCCAATCCATTTACTTATATAAGTCGTAAGTTCCAATTCCGCCCGCGTCTTTTTTTTCCATCCAAAATCTCATTCCATTCGATCATCTGAGATATTTGAAAAAAATGTCATACAGAAGGCACGTGATGGCGAAACGTCGAGAACCTCTTCTCGCTCACAACGGCCGAACAGCCCGAAAGACAATAATATGCCGAACGATGACCGTGAAAGCCTTACGCAATATATAAAAAATAGTGTCTTAAACATACGTCACTTTCGATTTTTCTGCAAGTATTTAATGATGGCAGACCATTTTATTTTTGTAGCATATTATACACACACAATATCTACACTTTTCAGATATGCGGAGGGCAATGAATTACAGATGAGTTATTTATTATCGGTATTTAAGGCTAAAAAGGGGGGGAGTGCAGGGGGATTTTTATTTATTTATATATTATATGTATATATATTATGTATAACAATTATACATTAGAAAGTAATGAGAGGCGTGGACGCTAACAAGCGATTTCTACCAGACAAAACATTAAAAAAATAAGGAACATAAAATGAGATATCCAGATGGCCAAAAAATATATAAAACGTGGAAATGTCTTAATAATAAACGCATACAAAATGTAAGTATATATTAGCCACAGGAATACACAAGGAAGTAAATAAATAATGATTACTTTGCTCAGATGAGAAATTAATGGTCAGAAAATGTTATTAATTTGACAATATAATGTTCGATCAAATGACTTTTATTTCATTTATATTATAACATAATAATTAATGCATATCATTGTCTTTCAGGCTGTGAAAGCCTTACACAATTTATAATAATTAATGGTATTCCATTTTGTATGCATAGGGAAGTAATTTAGCAACTGAATTTAAATTAATTACCATACATTTTAGGGTAGTAAAAACTTAAAGTACACCTTTTATAGCCTTGTATGATAAAGGACCTGACCCTGAATTTTATTCCAATATGCCATGAATACTTCCGACGAACAGCACATTACTTTTTATCAAAGAATGGCTATGATAACCTCAACGAAAGTCAGACGCCGATAACAACTTACAACGTCTTCGCGACTATACATAGCACTTCAACACAAAATACTATTGAAGAAAATCGTTTTTAATTTTTTATATTTTCAATTCTTCTATTCTATTCTATAATTAAATTGTAACGACGCTCGTAGTTAGAACTATTAAGAAACAAAATAACAAAATCAACTAACAACTCAAACTAAGAAATGTTTTGAATAGTACAGATATGTATGTCAGTGACATTTTTATAATATATCAAACCCTAGAATCCAAAACATTCCCGTAAACCACCGGTATGTTGTCTTTCAGGACCTTTCAGGAAATGAAAAGAGTTCTACTCCACTTACAAAGTTTGCATACAATTTTTGAATATGTATGGAATTATACAGTTTTCTTGTATTTATGTACACCTTATATTGCATACTCTACCTAACGAATAGACTCTACTGAGAGTAAATAGCAAGGACGTATAATATAATACAATTCGTCTTAAAGTGCAGTTAACATAGTGGTATTTACTAACTTAATATGTCGTGTATAAACTCGTTAAAATTTTTTGATTTTATTGTATACACTTACAATCATAAGATGATATTAATGTTCGTTACTTTTCTTACGCCTGTCTAAAATACAATGGCAAAAACTATTACAGTGGTTTGCTGACTTAATCATGAGATGTATGGCTTATAAAAATAAAAAATAAAAAAAAAACTATTACAGTGGAATCTCTATAACTAGAACCTCGTTTAGTCGAAATCCTCAGTAAGTCGAAAAAAAATGCTATTCCCTTCAGCTGAATCTCTAAATACGCTGAATCTGGAAATAAAACGAGAATGTTGAGTATGTGGACCTCATGACCACTGTAAGGCATCTGAATCGCCATTGAAGTAAAATACTTTGAGTATTTCACCGTTAATTGTTTTCTCATTTGTCTTGCCTAAAAATTATAAAACATAACTTTTTAATAATTTATTTAATGAGTTAAATAGCTGATTGTAACACACAGCCATTTAACATCTCACAAGATGTGCTGTCGAGTGTCGACCTTCTATGGGCATGGGATAAACGGAATTTTGAAAAAGATATAGATATTCGTGTTGTATAGAACGTATTTTAAGCCATTATAATTAATTACGCCCGAAGTTTCCAGCCCCATTTTAAAAATTGTTTTTGTAATCTTCCGAAATTATCTCGTCTATCCAATACATTATTTATGATAAATATAACCAATTTCCAATATAAATGGCGCACTAACAAGCATATCTGATGTTCTTCAAGCCAAATGTCGGTAACCAATCACGGGAAACAATAAGCTAAGTAGTTCTATTTGTGACTTAATTTTAAAATTTCATAATTTTCATTTACACTTTAATATTTCATTTAACGGACGGTTTGACGGTCTAGTTGGTGTAATGGTAGCAACGTATGCCTAATAATTTCAATCAATACTAATATATAAAGCTGAAGAGTTTGTTGGGTTGAACGCGCTAATCTCGGGAACTACTGGATCGAATTGAATTTTTTTTTTGTGTTGGTTAGAGTATTTATCGAGGAAGGCTATAGGCTACAAAACATCACACTGCAACTAAGAAAACGGTTCAAGATACCCAAAAATATGTATGAATGATTCCTGTTTAAATTACCTAATATCCGCGACACTATATTATGTCTATTCTTTAATATTAACTGGCTAGAACGACAGGACGTGGATGAAGTCGTGGGTGGGTAATCGTCTAAGCGACACAGATACCTATTCTACGCGGATAAAGTCGCTGATACAGCTAGTGTAACACATTCTTTTGAAAACTTTAATATTTTACTTAACACACAGCTAAGATGTGTAATGGCGAGTTGGATGTCATCATAGCAATGTATACCTAATAATTACCGGTGCCGAAGTTCGATTCACCGACTCCAGTATTTCAATTGATTTATTAAATTTCTGGAACATGCTGAACTTCGCCTGGAAATTCTTTCCGTCATGAATCACCGTCCACAGATAAAGACGCTGTGAAGTTAAATCGCATTTCGGTTTCAATCTCTGGATTTCTGAATATTCAAAGCCAGTCGTATCTACTCTAATAGGCCGACAGCGCATCTTGTTTAGGTATTTCATTTAAATAAAACACTTTAACGGTTTAAAACGCGATATATTAGTTAAACTTATTTGGAAATGATTTTTAACTTCGGCCCGACGTTTCGGTCTCCCCGTGACCACGGCTGCTGCAAAGCATCGGAAACGTCGGGCCGAACTATTAAAGTTCGTACAAAAACAATTTTTCCGTTTTAAACTATTAAAGTGTTTTATTTAAATGTGTACTACTCGCGTAAACTATATACAGTATTTAGGTATTTCATCTTCTATCAAGTAAATAATGCTTCTCTGTCCACCTCCGTCACTAAAAATATTTAAACCTCAAATAGCAATACACATTATGTAAGACCTATATATCTTAGCTTTGAGATAAATCGTTGTAGGAGATATTTTTCCTTATAAGATCCAAATAAAACACTCGAGATTGTCTGATCAATGATGTGGGCTCAACGTATAGATTTCTTATCAATTATAATTTGATGTTGAAATTAGGTTCCGTATGAAAACCGGCGTTGATATAGAGATTTACTTATTATTCTAATAATAATGTCACTTTATTTGTGGTTAATAAGATTTTTTGATTTCAGCTTAAACCACATAGGTATACGTATGTCGATTGTATTTAAACTGTTGTTCAAATACTGCAAAAAGTATGATTCTTTCTGTCTAGCAGTTTGTTTGTAATATACCTATACACGATATATTTAGTTAAACTTGTTTGGGAATTATTTTTAACTACGGCTCGACGTTTCGGATGCTTTGCAGCAGCCGTGGTCTCCATGGGGTCAAATTATATCGCATTTTAAACCGTTAAAGTGTTTTATTTATATGTGTACTACTCGCGGAAACAGCGAGACAGTATGATATACCTATGTTTGATCTAACTTTGCAAATTATCTTTAAAACAAATATTTAGATGTATCCATTCTAGTATTAGCAAACAAATGCACTTTCCTTAAACCTGAAACATTTGCACCGTAACCAAAAGGCATACATACAGTATAGAATTATTTTTTACATTTCTATCTAATAGTTGTAATACTACTTAAAAAAATGAAAGCACAAACAAGCACATGGTCCAACTTCTTTTTGCTGCTAGCAAATTGCGCCGTTGCTTTATTAAAGAACCCTAAATTAGATAAAATCTGACATTTTACGGCAGTATATATGAGAAACTTGTTGCTTACATGCGAAAAAATGTCGCGTATTATAAACTTTTTTGTACTCTGCTGTCTTCTCGAAAATGTTTTCTCATTATCTATTAGACAGAATGACAGTGATGTAGTTAAAGTAGAAGAGTACATAACGAGTAAAAAGCCAGAAATTAATACACGGTATCGGTTACACTATCATCTGTCGCCGCCAGTAGGATGGATGAATGATCCAAATGGATTCTCCTTTTTCAAGGGTGAATTCCATATGTTCTACCAGTTCTACCCTTATGACAGCGTGTGGGGTCCAATGCATTGGGGTCATTTCTCTAGTCCTGATCTGGTACATTGGAATCGCCTCCCCACGGCGTTGGTTCCTGGACAGGAAATGTGTTTTTCCGGCAGCGCTGTGGCCGACGGCGACACCCTTACTCTTATTTACACAGGACGTGAGGTTACTGATGAAGATCCTTTCTTTAAAGAAGGTCAATATTTAGCATTTAGTGACGACGGTGTAACTTTTCACAAATATAAGGGAAATCCCGTCTTGACTTCAAGTGAGTCTCCAGATTTTCGGGACCCTAAAGTGTGGAAACATGGAGACTATTGGTACATGGTTATTGGAACAAAGACTGAAGAGGAAAATGGTAAGGTTGTACTTTATTCATCTGAAGACTTGAAGAGCTGGACGTTTTTATCTGTGATTGGACAATCGAATGGCGAAATGGGATACATGTGGGAGTGTCCAGATTTCTTCGAACTGAATGGAAAACATGTACTATTGATGTCCCCTCAAGGTTTAAAAGCCCAAGGAGATCGTTACAAAAATACCCACCAGACTGGGTATATCATTGGTAGTTTTAATTATGAGACATATGAATTTATTCCAGAAATCGATTTCCAGGAAATTGATTTTGGTCATGATTTTTATGCCAGTCAAACGACGGAGCATAATGGTAAAAGGTATTTAGTTGCCTGGTTTAGTATGTGGGAGGTTGAACATCCCGAAGATGTAGATGGTTGGGCTGGTGCTTTGACTATTATTAGAGAATTAAATTTAATTGGTAATCGAATCACAATGAAACCAGTAGACGAAATAACATCACTAAGAGAAGAACCTGTAAGTAATGAGATTTTCCAAATCGGTGAAGTAAGAAACTTACCCGAAGCGTCTGAATTGATTATAGAAGGTGAGTTAGACTCACAGATTGAATTGCTATTTGAGGGTTCTGAGGGGGGTGGTAAGGTTTGGCTTCGCTGGAATCCAGAAGATGGAAAAGTCAGTGTCGACAGAGGTTCTGAAGATATAAGACAGGTGGAATGGGTACCGATAGAATCTAAAAGTTGGCGAATTTTCTTAGACGCTAGCAGCCTGGAGTTATTCTGCGGGGAAGGAGAAGTAGTATTTAGTACTAGAGTTTACCCAGACGGTGAATGGAGACTTACCAATTTGAGCCCTCAACCTTTATCCATAGAAGCATATCGTTTAAAGAGAAGTGTACCTGAATAATTTCGATCTCATATTTTGCAAATGCTGTCGGGTTTGAACTCTTTAGGTTTATAATATTAATATAGTTTTTCAAATATAATGTATGTTTTATTTTTTGGTTATGGTTATAGCTTTAACATGCTGTAATTTAAATTACGTGCCATTATTATATGACAGAGCAGGACAGACAATAATGTGTTGTTTGATTGAGGTTAGTTATTATTACCTGCAGTATAACATCTGATTAAGATGCCTTGTCAATCTAGTTCAGCTTTGAATATTCGGAAAAGCCAAACACTTAAACACGTTTTAGTAACTGATTACATTTTTCTATCTGTAGCCGGTGGTTGATCTGAACTACAGTAAAATTCAAATTGATTAAGGCAGACAATGGACCAATGAGCCCGTCAGAAAACAAATATTGTAAAATGAAATATTATTTTTGTGTAAAAATATGTATTTCAATGCATACGCGGTTTAATTTAGTTTTTTCCTCGATATTTTCTTAACTCTTATAACACATTTCACTCCATTTTTGATCTTCACTAATAAGAATAATAATGTAAGGATCAGAGCTATAAGGTCTAAATACATTTTTTTGTATAAGGGTAACGATAGTGCTGGCGATCGTAAATGTGGTGCACCTCCAGTGTTGATCACGTACTCTATCCAATAGACCAGTTCTTCGCCAGGCGTTTGCTGACGATTGTGGAAAATTACTGATAGCTCCTTCGCTTTTATTTTGTATCTGGAAATGTTTTTGTTTTATTTATTTGCAATCAGTTACATATTAATAATAACACTATATTTTTTTTCGATCAGGCAGGGCACAGAAGTTTGATAGAGTAAATAAAATCGATAAGTGAGACGGACACAAAAATATTATATTTGCCCTTCGTTCCACACGCAGAAAGGGGTTATTACTTATATACTTAATTTGTTGTGATTTATATATAAGATAACCTATATATTAATGAAATGTTTTACATATTTTTGTTTCAAACAAAAACTTCTTTTTACATATTTTTAATAGCAAGGAGTTAATTATTCAATAAATTTAATATACCGTTCGTTAAGTACCAGCTACATATTTTTACATAGAACTCCATAATAATTAAAAATCATAGTCAGTTACATTATCTTGAAAGCTAGAAGATAATTAAATTTAAAAATATATATTTTAGTCATCTATTTAGTCACACAAATTAAAAAATCCATCAATCAGTTCTTATGATTTAAGCCAATCGTTTAGTGTAACAAATTTAATTCCGTTATGCACACTCATTCACTTTAACTTTTTCATACATTTAAATAAAACACCATAAAATTTGCGTTTTAAATCGTCAAAAGTGTTTTATTTCAATGTTTCGTATACGTACAGTTTCAATTTAAGATCGTGGCATTAAGATCAATTCTACCTATTGGATTTAGTGTAGGAAACTACTAAGAATTTAGTGAAACCCCGTTTCCATCCCCGTGGGCATGGGGCGAACAGATATCTGTGTCCGTTTCACTGATCGGTTTATTTACAGGCAAGTTCATCACACTTCTCTGCCCTGTCCGACCGAAATAATCTTTTGTTTCTCCGGGATTTAAGCCCAGGCGCTCCCGTGCTTAACGCAATGCCTAGGTCTTTAACTATTTAGCTACAGAGGAGGTAGGCAGAGTATTTTCTTTACCGCCATTCTTATTTTAAGAACTTATATCATGGCCGGTTAGCAATTTAGATCGTGTTACAATGTCATTTATCAAAATTATTCTATCAGTACATACGTCATCACAATTTATAGTAAGGTTTATCTCAGTACACGATCAGATCAAGAATAACTTTTATATGATAGAGGAGGTCAGATAAGCACTTGACAGGAGGTGGAATACCCCAGTCATATAATAATGTCACTAGATGTTTTGGCTTCGATATGCAGTTCTCTCATACCTTGGAGTAACGCTCATCTCTTTGATGGCGCTAAATAAACTCGTCGTTAAAGTGTCTTCCGATAAATCTACTGTCATACCAAAGCCTTTCTGGCTAACAATATTCATGTTCATCAGTTGGTCTCCCATAACTGGAATCCCAATGATGGGCACCCCGAAATGTATTGCTTCAATGGTTGACAGTTGTCCTCCATGTGTAATGAATAATTTTAGATTCGGATGAGCTGAAACAAAGTTGAGTGTTTAAACGAAACACTTTTTTATGGTTTAAAACTTGAGGATAAAAGATGGTTATTTAACTACTAGGAAACGCCACGTTATTAGTGACACCCTCCATCTTTGGGGGGCGCACATTTATAGATTTCGTACTTTAAACCGTGCTACTATTCGCTTACTTTCGCGTATTCGCGTGAACTACAGACAATACAAAGTATACGTGTTTGAAATATCGTGTTACGATAGTACTTAAGTATAATCTGTACTTTACGCGAATAGTACACATTTAAAGAAAACAATTTTATACAGTTTAAAAGGTGAAATATCATAACTTATTTTTAATTTTTTTTAATTACAATATTTAAGTTATACGATGGGATGGACAGAACCTTTGGTCGAGTATTAATCAACATGTCATTGATTCAATGCCCACCGGGTGCATTTGTATACATATTTGTATTAATTCAATGGGTTGTAGGAATATCGAATCTAGGCCCGTGTCCACATTTTGTCTATATTTTCTCGAAATTAAAATTAAATTTATAATAAAAGCAAAACGTTATACGTTATATTAACCTGATCAATAAAATAAGAGTTGAGCTTACCTAGAATGCTTTCTTGTGGCGCCCATTTAACTAAATGAACATTCTTAGGAATCTTGTCCAAATCAGTTTCGAATTTCCATATAACAGTTTCATTTAATTTCGCAAACAATATCATGAGAGAACTCTTCATTCGTTCACTCATATCTTCGCTCCTTAAATTGGATCCCATGCTGAAGTAAATCACACCGTGTTCTGCACTATCCATTACTTTCTGGAGATTCTAAAGTGAAAATATTTTAAGTTAAGGATGGAAATTTTCTTTCAACTGAAACCACGAACTATGCGCAAGATGGTGGTTGCGCTAACTTCAGACCGGCCAAAGTAGGAGAGAACTGTATTTTACTATTAACGGAACACTTAACTTTATCGCGCACATAAAAATATATTCATGGATCGATAATGATTCTAGAAATATCTTACTTTATTGAAAAGCCACGAAAGAATTTTGCTCGAATAGAATTGAATTCTAGGCGCCACGATTTGGTGACACGTTCGATCCTTAGTTATCATATTTATTCTATTTTTAATTGATTTTTAATCGGAAAATACTTCAAAATATAGTATCTATCAATCTTACCTCTGGCAAGGCTGGAACATCACTACTAATATGAAATCCAGCTACGTGTTTCGCATTTTGCGGAAGTTTACGTGGAAATCCAATAGATGGATGAGAATTTATCAAAAGGAAAGATCCATTGTAAATTGCCTCTTCATATGGTGGAAAATGTACTCCTCTTTTTGAAGCAAATGCAGAAAAGAGGGATTCGTACATAGATTTTTCAGTAGGAGTGACGTAGTAACTAGAATATTTTAAAGTGTTCATGTCATTAGACATTTTGTCAAATTTTTTATCTTCGATGACTGAAAATTAAAAGGTCTACAATACCTAGGCCTGTAAAACCAGAGAACAATTTCTAAGACAATAATCTATGATTTCAAATGGGCAATAAGAAAATTTTACCACTTCGTTGTTGAATAGTGCCTAATTTAAAATCAAATCAGTTTATACAACATTATTAGTAATAACTATATTATATATTAATTCGAGAAAAACCTATAAGAATACTAATACCTTGCTAAAATATATCGCTTCACTATTCCGAACAATTCTTCGATCCTTTGATAAAAATTAAGAGGCGGTGAGTTTAATGAGTACATGTCCACGTGCAAAGCTGGGTTCGGCACTTCGTCAATTAACTCTAGAATTTGCCAGTAAGCATCTGTTGTCGTGAACCAAATCAATGGACTTTGGAATAGCGACGCTATCCTGAAACACCAAAAATATACATCTGTACCTAATTCTCTCTAATACAAAAGGAAGAGTTGGCTTGTGATGATATAAAATACCTCAGCCCTAAAACTTTTAAACAAGATATCCAGCTTTGAAATTAGTTTATTTATTGTCTATCTATGATTAATAATAAAACTTCTACTATCTCACCCAGCAACATAATTGGAATAACACCACTCTACTATGACTCCATCGAACTGCTCCTTTGGGTCTTCAAAGAGTTCCTTCACATCTTCCGTTTCTAGTACTGCTTTGTGCGCTTCATTGACGAATGACATTATAAAAATTGGATCTATTTTATTTATTATCAGTTCTCTTATTGTGTAACCATCTGGAAGATGTACAGCTGATTAAATATTAGTGATTAAAATATTTAGATGTAACAGAATTCTATTGTGTATTGTTTTTGAAAAGTATAAATTTTAGTTAAAAATGTATACTAAAGTCCTTAGTTCACGGTGGAACACGTTTTCTTTGATAGAAAAAAAAACCGTATTTCATTGCTTTTTAAGAATACATTTTTTAAGTTTATATTATTGTAGTTAAAATATTTTTTTCTTATTAATGGAAAAGTGTAAGAGATAATCCATGACCATGTTTTATATTATTATCTTACTGTATACTTACTATCATTCAACCTGAGGTCCTTTAATCTTTGCCCTATTACCGACACATCAATCTCTTTTAAACGATTCGTATGGCGATATTCCTGTTTTTTTGGAAAGGCTGTAATGTGGACCACCTGAAAAATTTATTTTTACAAAGTAGACTAGGCGTGACTATTATTAAGACTCTACCTTCGCTAAAAATTACTTCGAGTGGGCCCGAGTCTATCGTACGTCAATTGTTTCTTATAAATAGGTGTACACCGAAAAATGTTTTCATTCTGTATCTCGAACTTTTTCATAATCTTTCATACTCTTACCGATTAAAACTTCCCTGAACTATAAGTAACATTTCATAACTAATTCAGATAAATGAGAAGCAAGGTTTTCAAGTGTCAGCGAGTCAAACGAAAGTAAATTGCTTTCTATAACACCTATGTTATTCCTACTTTCAAAGAATTAAGAATTCTCTGTATACCTCATGTCCAGCATGCAATAGGTTATCCACAATTCCATGGCCTAAAATGCTGTGACTCTTCGATGGAAGTGGAAAGAAAACCAACAAACGTAATGCATTGCTTGGCACAAATGCTATTAATATGAGCCAACGAAGATATGTTTTGTTTAACATCTGTAATAGACAACGAAATTGTTAGGTTGCCATGCAAACTAATTCCGGATACAGTTTACAGTAGTGATTACTACTACTGCTGTGCCATAAATATTTGAAGTTATATAGATAAAGAGAAGAATGTTTAAATAAATTAAAATCATACTTAAATAAAACACTTTAACGGTTTAAAACGCGATATATACTAATTAAACTTATTTGAAGATTATTTCAGATATTGCCTGTCGTTTCGGATGCTTTGCAGCAGCCGTGGTCATGGGGAGACTAAATAACTACAGACAGTATTTAAAATCATACTCTTATACAAAATTTCTAGCTTCCCAGGTATATAATTAAAAAGAAATGAAGATCAATACTTACTTCTGCAAAAAATGTGTTCTCTCTGCTTATTTTTTTATAAATTAAAGTATATAAATATAAATCAGCTTACAGTTATTTGGATAAGTTACCCAAATAAGTAACAATATTTCACTACACAGCACATCGTATTTGAAGTATATGAACTACGTAGATATAACACAAATAAAAAACGTTAAACTGCCTCCATAACACGACACTGTCAGTAAACAATTTACTCTGTGTATATATTTAAATCACACTTCAAGCTGATGTACAGTGCCGCAGAAAAGTGAGGGCTTTTTTGCGAATTCTATTAATACGATTTATATTAATGTCGAAAATATTTTCTTTAATTCTTTCATATCTAGTAAATTACTGAATTTGAAACAAATCATCGACAAAATATCAGACCTATTATGAAGCCAAATTTTTACGTCACTTATAAAATACGTAGTAAACTCTCAAAATAAGTAAAGCAATAAGTTTGAAATTGTATGTGTTTCATTAAATTAAACAGCGATTATAAATTGAAAAACTGAACGATTCGTGCAGGACTTAACCTATTGAGCCTCCAGGTCTAATGCGTTTCATTGTCATAATCTATTTAAGTATATCAAGTGTTATATTAAACTGCAAGATAATGTTAAAATAAACTTTGCCCCTTACCTCGTCGTCTATAATTATTCATTAATATTTAAATAACTATTGTTGTACTATGGCCAAAAAATATCATTAATATGAATTTCAAATTAAAGACACACAAAAGCGACTTAAATTTCAACTCAGCATTAGCTGTGTAAATTGTAGAATAGTGTTTTATTTAAACTCTTTGAATCTTATCTCCGAAACCAATTGCTTGTCTTTTTTATAACAAAGAAATACCTTACAGCTAAAATTAAAAATATATTTTAATATTTTACAAAGTTTGTAAGGCAAAGAGTGTCATTGGGTTAAGTTATTATATTTTGTCTAATGTAGGGTGATAAGTTTCAATATTTAGGATAAGGACAGGTAATAACATAATCGCTCGTGACAAATTGATTCAATCAATCGATAAATATATCTTCAATGGTATACAAACAAATATTCCTACATTTTATATGTTATTAAGTTATCTGCTAATCTATTTAAACATCAGGATTACAATACGAGCGGGTCCCGCAAAGTTAATAAATTTTCAATTTATATAAAGTCATCATGTGCAAAATATTAAAGTTTAGTTATCTGTTAGTAAAATGTTCAGTTATGTTTTTTATTTCTTCCCGAACGATATGTTCTACATCGTCTACAAACTGCTGTCTTTATCTTTCTAGTCAAAAAGTAGAGAGCTAATAAAGTAAATACTATGACGTCTAAATACAACTTCTTGTAAAGCGGTAAAACCAGGCCAGGCGACCTTAGGTGAGTTGCACCGCCAGTACTGATGACGTATTCAATCCAAAAGACAAGCTCCTTTCCGGGTGGTTGTTGGCGCTTGTGGTATATCCTTGATAGCTCTCTGGCTTTCTCTTTGTACCTATAACAGGTATTTAATTAGAATTATGAAAAATTTTATTCGAATAAAGCTTTTATATGGTTTCCTTTAGGGAACTATGAAACCAGCTTATAAAAGATATAATGTAAATTAATATTTCGAAACTTAAAGTAATAATAAGTTAAATTAAGCATAAGTATATAAATTAAGTATACATATTTTGAATAAGAAGACTAGGTCCGCTCCGACCAAGGAAGGGGAGCCCCAGTCGTCCTTAGCTGTTTTAAACACTATAGACAAAATTATAAAAAGAAAACTATGAAACCAAATGTTACCGTCGTTATTGACGCTTATCGTAAGCTATTGTGAAGAAGAATTAACAAATTCTATCGTGTTATGTTTTGTTTTTTCCAGACATTACTAGTAGTAGATTTTATTGTTCAGAAGATTCATAAAACCTTATCCAAGTAGGTACTAACTTAAAACCAATTTAAAGAAAAAAAGTTGTGCACTTTTTCGAATAGGACTACAGATAAGCAAGGGGTTCTGTTTATAGAAGGTAAAATGCCCCAGACATATAACATCTTAACAAGATGCGCTGTCGGCCTATTTTGGTTTTGGATACCGCGGGAACCGAAACGCAATTAAACTTCACAGTTTTATCATCTAAGATTTAAAATCCAAGCAAAGTCTAAGATGTTTCAGAAAATTATAATTTGAATTAGAAACACCCGATCGGGTTTGAACTCCGTTGATTTTTAGCCCGTTGCTGACTAACATTTCATAGTAAAGAACATAGATAAAATAACTGTGTACAACATTGTACCTCAGAAGTAGTAAACACTGTCATTATAAATAAATAAGCTTTAACCCGAGATCAAACCGTAATGATTTATGAACAACATTTTTAGCCGTTAATTATAGAACGCGCTGGATAGTATAAATAACATTAACAAACCTTGGGTTACTTTTAATTTCCTTTATTGCTTCATACAAATCTTTGACCAAGTACTGTTCTGTTAATTGCACGGTTATTCCGAAACCTTTACTCTTCACTGAATTCATGTTAGCGTGCTGATCTCCTAACACAGGTATACCGATAACTGGAACTCCGAAGTGTATCGCTTCTGTTGTTGATAGTTGACCGCCGTGGGTGATGAAGAACTTCAAGTTAGGGTGAGCTAAAAGTTTTATAATGATAATATAATTGCTTATAGGTACCATCTTAATAGCCGGTTGCGCTTGAGACAATGTCTGAGCAGAAATTATGTCTACATTTCTAAGTTCGATAAGTCATAAAATGTAAAGTATTTAATAAACAGATTATATAAATAATTTGCAGTACCTTTGTGACCATGCATGCTGTAAAGTAAAAAATTCATACAAAGATCGATATTTTTATTTACAGACCAATAGGTTAATAGTATTTAAGTCCGTGGTCTCCCGTGACCACGGCTGCTGCAAAGCTTCCAAAACGCTGCGGCGTAGTTAAAATGATTAGTTTTTTTTATTTGAATAAATAGGCAAATAGTCGACCAGACTTCGGTGCCATGCCTGACCGAGACAATTTATAATTTGTCATAGATTCGTACTTAGGACTTCTCGTATTTAATGCATTCTTGACAACACGTTTAACCATTGAGCTAAGCAGACGGTTATTAATATGTTATCTAATATATTTTGCGTTTTGAACCGTGAAACCGGCTTTATTTATATAGTATACATACCTAATATACTTTCCTGCGGTGCCCAACCTACTAGGTGAACGTTCTTAGGCACATCGTTTAAGTCAGTCTCAAATTTCCATATCACAGTTTCGTCCAACTGAGCAAACATCTTTAGTAGAGAACTCTTCATGGATTCGCTCATATCAGCGCTCTTCAGATTTGAGCCCATGCTGAAGTAAATTACACCGTGTCTCGCCTCATCCATGAGATTTTGAAGATCCTACATACGAAAATAAGTTTATGAGTATGTAAAAACTTAGGTAATGATGATTTTACGACTGTGTGTCTGTGGTCATTTTAAAATCTAACTGAAGAAAAGTTACGAGTCCGACTGACATACGTGACAAAGTGTTCTTTTCGTTCTTTCTTTTACTTCGGAGGAATCAAATCTATACCGACGCCCTACGTGGCCGGTTGATGGCCACGTCTCCTAGGTCGGTCCTAAGCGGTCATACAAATTTAATTTGAAACCTTTAATATACACGTTTATTTATTCCAATTTTATTGAGATTAAGTAACGATACGGGAGGGACTTGAACCGGCATCTACAGCGTTTTGTGCTGCTGCTCAAACCAATTGGCTACCGTAGCCAAAGACACGGTATATATTTATTGACTTCAAGCAGAAATAAGCAATCTAAAACTTTAGCTATTTTGAACACTTTAGAATCTCACGAACGGACAGACAAAAAAATTTTTTTTTTTAATTTTTTTTGCCGAATCTAAAAAATTTTTTTTTTTTTTACAAAAAAAAAAAGACAATATTTTTTTGACAGGAATGTAAATATATAACTTGGGTACGGAAGCGCCCTATAAGTTAATATCCATAACTAAATTAAAGCTTAATTTTATGTCTCTTACCTTTGGTAAAGGTTTGACTTCAGTACTGACATGGTACCCACCGACGTACTTAGCGTTTTGCGGGAGTTTGAACGGGGTCCCATAAGACGGATGGGAGTTTAGTAATAAAAGCGATGCGTTGTAAATAGCTTCTTCATATTCTGGCATTTGTTCGCCTCGTCGTTCCGCTATTGGCAATATCAGTGTGTTGTAAGCGTCCTCGTCTTTCGGCGTTATGTAGTATCTGAAATTGTAATTTAGACGAGTTTTAGTAAGCCCCGTTTTCACTATGTATAGGTCAGAAGTATGCCTTTAAATAAAACAATTTTAACGGCTCGAAACGCATAAGATTCCTATTTAAAACAAAACATCGGATTGTACTAACAATATATTATAAATAAGGTAAGGTTTCGCGTTTCAAACCGTTTAAAGTTTAAAGACACAGAATTTCTTTCTAATCAATGAATATAATATTATAATAATGTACTTGACTTGACCGAAGCTCGTTTCATGTTTTTCCGGAACTCAAATTTAAGTTTGCTGTTAACGCAATGCTTAACAACGCGTTTAACTTAGCTATGCAGACATTTCCTTGAATGTGTGTGTCCAGACGTGCATGTGCATATATATTAATAGAATGTATTGCACAGCAATTTTAATGTATATGTATCGAATTGAGAACCTCTTTTTTTAAGTTGGTTGAAGAAGAAGCATATCGATAGAAGATTTTGACGAGCTTATGAGACCAATAGAGGAAATGTATCAATGGATCAAGGGTTTGATTCCAATCTGGTCCAACAGGTATATCAGGATCAATTAATAATTTTCCCACAAATTTAACCACTATCTGCAAAGTCTTGATATATAAATTCGCATGTCGGTTTTAGTCTTTGGATTTCCGAAAATCCAAATTAAAGATAAGGACGTTATTAAAGTGATAATAACGAGATACAGAACCCTCTAACCTTCTTATCTTCGACGTCAGGATAACAGCTTCTTTCATGCTATACGAATCCTATACATTACCTTGCTAGGATATATCTTTTGACCATTGTGTATAGCTCTTCGATTCTTTGGATAAAGTCCAGTGGTAAAGAGTTGCTAGAGAACAAATCTATGCTGTATGCTGGATTCGAGGGTTCGTCTATCACTTCTAGAACTTGCCAGTGCGCTTCAGTTGTCGCAACCCATATAAGCGGAGCTTGGAATAGGGGTGCCAGTCTGAAAGAGGAATCATTTAATCTATAGTGATGTTATAAAGTTGAATGTCTGTGTTCTGAGTGTGTTCAGCGTTCAGCGTCAACAGACAAGTTTTTAAAGAGCGGTAGATCTATAGAAGACACTGTTTTAATCTATAACTCGGTATTGTTTTAAATTTACAATATTTTGAAGAAGATCTTTGTTTATGCAAACACTCGGGGACGGGCTGTAAGGCTAATAATAAACGTGTAGACGGTTCGCTCCCCACCAGGTCCAACGTGATTCTCAACACTTTATAATTTTATCGGTTATTTTTTGGACTTTGACTGAAAATCTGGATATTAAAAGGGTGGTGGCGTCCAGGCCACAAACCATCGTCCACAGGTGGACAGATGGGTTCCTTAATCGCGTTTCAGTCTGTGGATTTCCGAATATCTAAAATCAAAACAAGTCAATAATGCATCTTGTCGAGATCAGTGATAACTAAATAAGCAATAACCACTTGTATCGTCAGTAACAGTAACTAAAAGTAGAAGCTTACCCAGCAACAAAATTAGAGAAGAACCACTCAACAACAACTCCGTCGAACTTCTGTTTCTTATCGCCAAGGAACTCCCGAATAATGGGTTCTTCGAGAACTTGTTTGTGTAATGTATAGCTGAAGCCCATTAAGAAGATTGGATCAACTCTTTTTTCCGCCAGATGCTTTAGCGCATACTCTTCACCTGTAACAATTATTGAGATAGCTAGCTTTACTTTAAATTAGCTTATTTTCAATTTGTTTCTCCTAGGACCGGACGTTTTGGACGCAGCGGTCGTCGCATTCGAAACGTCGGGTCGTAGTTGAAATAGGTTAACTGATACATATCACGTTTAAAATAAGTTAAAGTGTTTTGTCTAAATATATAACGTTCGCGTAAAACACAGGTGATACTTAAAGTGGTTTTCTAACCAACGACTAAGAACTTTTCGTGTTGATAATTAATATTTTTTTTATTTTAATTTAGTACTTCAACGATCCCATGGGGGCCTATTTCTGTGTCCGTTTCACTGATCCGTTCTTCACCAGGCAAGTAGTTAATCAGACTTCTGTGCCCTGCCTGACCGAAACAATTTTTTGTTTCCCGGGGATTCGAGTCCAGGACCTCTCGCGCTTAACGCAATGCTAGGCAATACGTTTAACTATTTGGCTACAGAGGCGGTCATTGCACATGTTAGCCATATATGAAATGAAAATATTCTTAAACTGAAAAAAAAACATTATCTATCAAAGGACACGGTAGCACTATTGGTAGCAGGGAACGCTGATGCGGATTCAAGTCCCGCCCGTGTCGTAACTTTTTTCAACCGAAATAATTTTTTAATTTACATAATGTGAATAATATGCTGATGACTTATGATAATTTATAATTCATCGAGGGTGGTCTTAGCTTGGGGGTAATCTTAGCTCGGGTTCTGCCTCTGCCATGATTCGAAGCTTCCATCTTGTCCATACCATCCACAATTGATTATACACAAGCGGGGCTTTATGTTTTGCTTCGTATATTTTGAATTCTTATTTTATTTTTCATTCATACCTTATTTGACTATTCTTCACAGTGAATATCTCGGTACTGTTCAATTATAAGATTCGGATCCATTCTAGTACAGTAGTACTTGATGTAATCTCAGTCTATTGTTAACTTTTTCACACTACAAACTATAGAATGAGACGGCAATACTTTTTATTGTTCAATTGTGCCATTGTTGTTCTTGCAAGCCATACGAATACTAATGAAGAATTTGTCAATTAGTACAAACTGCTTTTAATTTCACTAATAAAGTCTGTATTTTTTCATTCTCTCGATAAAATTCTACTACCTCCAATCTCAGATCTTAATTAGTTAAAATAAATTATAAATATGTTAACTAATATTTTCCGCGTTATAAACTGTTAAAAATGTTTTATGTTCAAGTAAACTATAAACAGTACTTAATTTAAGTATAGCTTACTTTTGATTAAGGTGGCTTTGATTCTTTCTCCTACTTCGCTTACATCGATTTCTGTTAGATTTGGTAAAGGTTTGTCCTTGGGGAATGATGTTATATGCACCACCTGTAAAACACCATTTTAACAGCATATAATTTAGGCAGATACATAAGCTTAATGTTTTACATTAGGGTGGCTTCCTGCAACCCCTGTAGAAGAGGTTAGTCAATACGATTAAAGAATTATTATAAGGAACTAAACGTATTAATTATACATAACTTATTAATCTTATATTATATACATTAAACAATTTAAATACGAAGTATGCAAAATAAAAAATACAAAATCGATATTTGAATAATCACATCTTATGTTTCGTAGTATGATATGAGAATTTCATTTAGCAAGATATTTTTTATTTAATTCATGTCCAAGACAAGTTCTCGTAATAGGTCGTAGCCGGTAATACCTTACCAACGACATGAATTGTTGATTTGTGTTATTTTGGTTGTGGCATTGCTATTAGAGTAATTATGCTTTTTTTATAAAACATTTTATGGTTCAAAACGAGATATCTATCAGGTAACTTACGTACAATTTAAATACTGTCTGTAGTTTATGCGAGTAGTATACTTATAAATAAGATACTTTAACGGTTTAAAACGCGATATATATTAATTAAACTTATTTTAACTACGGCCCGACGTTTCGGCTGCTGCGTGCGGCGTGAAACGTCGGGCACGTGACACCGGGGGGACTGGAAATGACTCACGGTGTCGTCCTCTCTATGATGTCCACAGTTTACGCGAGTAGTACACATTTAAATAAAACGTGGTCACGTCTGCTGCAAAGCATCTGAAACGTCGGGCCGAAGTTAAAAATCATTTTCAAATAAGTTTAACTAATATATCGCGTTTTAAACCGTTAAAGTGTTTTATTTAAATACCACTATGCTGTTCTTTGGGATTCAGTGTTTTTATCATCAACTTTTTGTGACCACAACTGATATAAGCATCCGAAACCGAGTTTTAACCGATTAATGTTCGATTTTAATGTGTACTATTCGCATAAACCGAGAATAAGTAATTATGTTGCTGATAAACTGATTAAGTACCATAATGTTGAGATAACAATCATATTTAATCAGAAGTACTTACCTCATGGCCAGCGTCCAGGAGATGGTTTACAATGCCATGACCTAATATGCTGTGACTCTTAGCTGATATTGGAAAGAATACCAAGAGTCTTAGTGCATTTAAAGGCATTGCATGCACTATCAGAACCAGCAATAACAATTTATTCGCCATCTGAAACGTGAAAGGGGGAAGTCCCTATAAACAATGCAGATTCTTATGACAACAGCACACGGTATTAACAAGGTCAGATTGGTAAATTTTCCTCTTAATCATTGGCAATGCATATGAGAGCTTGTTTTATGTTAAATTTATTCTAAATTCAAAAAAGTATGACACCGGGATCCGAACTCACAGCCACAGCGTTTTTTGCCGATTGTAAAACTATAATGATCCCAAATAATGGTTTCGTTAGATTAATAATAATTTAATCTCGTTATACAGTTTCTGTTATAAAAACTCCCGCTTAAAACATCTTCGGATATCATCGTTTCGTTCTCCGTTAAAAAAGACAAGCAAACTTGCCCACAACAAACAAAAAATGTATTGTTTATATTTGTTGTGGGCAAACAACAATGACCAATTTATGGTGATAGCTTTAATGCCAAACATGTACACCTCTGAACGTTTTGATAATAATGGTGATAAGAATATAGACATAAGAGATGCTTTGTTGTGATGCAATAATATTCATAAAATCTATACTAATGTATAAAGCTGAAGAGTTTGTTTGTTTGTTTGAACGCGCAAATTTCAGTAACTACGGGTTTGAATTAAAAATTATTTTTTCGTTGGTTAGAGAATTTGTCGAGGAAGGCTATAGGCTAAAAAACATCGCTCTGTGACTAATACAAGCGAAGATACAGCGAGAAATGTGAAAAAAAAAAATTGGAAAATTATTAATCATTATGTTGTTCAGAGGCGTATGCTGCAAAATCGGTTCAAGCTACCCAAAAGATATGTATAAAAGAAAGTTTATTTTTTAAATGATCTAAAAAAAAGTCCTCGGCGCTATATGTCTATCCCTTAAGACGGACTCGCAAAAATGACGGGAACCGAACTACGGGTCGCGAGCGACGGGACGCGACCGATGGCGTAGGTTAGTTTACAAAAACAATTTTGAATGCCCAAAATAACTATTCTACGCGAAGTCGCTGACTCAGCTTTTTATTAATATTTTCAATGTATAAAATAAACATGTTATAATAAAACCATATAGACCGCGTCCAAAGCTAAAGTGTTAAACGCGACCCTTACATTACTTTAAGGACGAGAGACCCGGAGTTCGGATCCCAGGGGAAAAAATGACTGGATCTTGCTAAATCAATCAGTAATACGACCACAAATGTGTTCACCCCATGTCCCACAGTCCACGCGATTTCATTTATGCACATTATTGATAGATTTACATATAGTTTTAACAATCTCATATTGTACATTTTTTCTTAGTTTTAAAATTAATAAGTTTATTATAAAGTATATTGACGTATATTTAAAAAAAATGTAAAACTTACAGTTTTAAGATTTATCCAAACATTAACGACACTAAATTATTCAAGATGTGCTTTTAACATCGTTCTACACGCGTCTGTATCAAAACTTGTTCTCGTTTCGACTGACTTGATATGGGAAGCGATGTCCATTCGTTTGTAACGTATAACAATATTAATTGAGCATAACGCTTTAATATGGCGGCAGAAGCAATCGGGTTGGCGAGAAGTTTTATCAGTACTGTTATGAACTAGACGTGCCCGCGACTTCGTTCGCCTGGCTTACACATGTATTTGAATAATAATTATGAGGGTACAAGTAATCTGTCATAAATAATTCCGACAAATTTAATTACTGTGGTTCTTGCGAGTTAATCTTGATAAGATATTGGAAAATTTTCTAGATAATTTAAAAAGGAATCATTCTTAAATGTCGTTTAGTGCCGTTTAGTTTGAATCATTAGTTTCGAAATTAGCGCCCGCATACAAACAAACAAACTATTCAGCTTTATGATGGAGTATAGATGTTTCAAAACAAACCTACATATCAAGAATTCGCTTGATTTATATTTAAACAAGAAATTTACTTTTTTAAATACTTTTGTCTCCTACACCTTTTCGCGTATTCTGAAGAATATTATCTTTATTTTCGATTATTCCAATATATAACATATAAAATTGTACTGACAAGTAAAAAATTAGGATCTTTAACAAATTTTCTCTAATATGTTATGTACCTACCGGTTTCTAATTTCGTCATACTATAATTTGTTGTTGTAGATTAGTGTTTTTTATAAATTTCATATTATTTGAAAATGAATTGAAGAAGTAAGAAATAAAAATAAAATAGGTACTTACTGACCACAAGCTACACCAATATAATAATATTAAAGGTAAAATTTAATATTTTTCATCCTTAGCACCATATAATTAAAAATGATTACAAATTGAAAAAAATTACGACTCGGACAGGACTTGGAACCGGCATCTTTAGCGTTTCGAGCTGTTGTGCTAACCAATTGAGGACTAAGGACTCCACACTTAGGACACCAGCACGGGACGCTGAGGAGGACGGTTCAAGTCCTGCCCGAGTCGTAATTTTTTTCAATTCATAATCGATTTTATAGATCGATACATACTATTAATTATATAGAAAAAAGGGATACATATAATTATGTGATTTATAATATTAATTAAATCTTTAAGTATATTTAAGTCTAGGCTTGAATTTATTTAGATGTATGCCTATTGAGTCTTGGACCTGATTTGACTACAGGAAAACGCTTGTGTAGCCACGAACTATACTTAGAATAGTTTATTGCTTTGTTAAATAATACCTATAGGCGTTTATGAATCATGAATAGTTCGATGTTTATTGAATTACGTACGATTCTGTGTATAAAACAGTTACAAAGTATAAGTAAATACCCAATAATGTTATCAGTTTTCAATAAAAAACTTTAAACTGAAATATAATATAGTTAAACTACGGATCGACGTTTCGGGTGCTTGCGGGTGCAGCAGCCGTGGTCACAGGGGGACTGTATATGGTGTGTGTCTTAAATCTCTAAAGTTAAAACTCCTGTGCTACTACGATCAGCTTAATTATAATTATTAAGTAAGCACACTTTACGATCATGCCATCTCTTGGTTCATAATTTAAACTAATATGACATAAATTTTAGAAGTTCATACATGAAGTGTTATTGCCTTCGTAAGTATATACTAGATGGCACTATAAATAACTTGATGTATTTTGACGTTATTAATAGCGAATAATATTGTATAGTTTATTTGTATATTACTAACTTTTTGTTTCTTGTAGGTAGGGTAGATAGACTCATATTTAAAATTGAGAAAGCATGGAACCCTTTGGAAATGCCATTAAATCTTTATAAGTCATAAATTACAAGGTTAATGTTACAATGACAGAACAGATAAACTGTTGAAATTGTTATTGTGTAAAATGTTAAATACCTAATGTCTCTCAGCATTTGAACTTTGCTAAATCTAAATGTTGTTTGTCAAGAAGCTGTTGAATGTCTGAAACGTTTAATTTCAAAGCAATTACTGAGGACGCGTGTTTCGAAATTTCTCTAACTTATTAAGGAAGTTGAGAACATTGTCATACTTTTATTTCACTTTAGAGAAAATTTAATTTCGGCGAGTCGAAGAAGTTTAACACAATGTAAGTTCTGTAGTTGTCAAGTATCTTTTAACAAGTTTAGCAAATTCACTTTGCCTTTGCGTGATTTTTATGACTTCATATTTATGAATAGGATTTTGATCTACAAATTCATAAATGTAAACAAATAGGTACGTGTAGGTATATAATTGAAATCCTATTTCGCCTGTAGGGAATGCAGTGATCACAATGTATCTACAGCTAGTCAGTAGTTGATTAGATATATGTCTGTAGTTTACACAAGTAGTACACATTTTTTTTTATAAAGGACGCTATACAACATCTAAACAAGATGTTGTATAGCGCTGTCGACCTTTTTTGGCTTTGGATATTCGAAATTCACAGATCGAGAATGAATTGTGATTGAACTTCACGGCTCTGTCATCCATAGACAGTGGTTCGTGACCCAGACGGAGTTACGATATTCCTACACCTCACTTTATATCCAGATTTCCAGACGTAGTCTAACATGTTAGAAGATTGATTAGAACAACCACGACCCGATGATTACTAACCACTCATAGCTACCATTAGATCAAAGAGTGCGTCAAAATAAATCTATACTAATCACTGGGACTATATTTAAAATATGTATAGTAAAGTCATAGCGAGTTACTAGTCCCTAACATAAGATTGATACTTTCATTATGTCACCAAGGAATGATAAAGTACGATATGGGCTGTCGTTAACGCGTCGGGTCCGCTTTATTTCTCATTATCGCGTTATAGCCTTCAAACGTTTGCTGCTAGACGGTAATACACCATCAAACTGTTACGTGTCAGCTTAGTATGGAAAGGCGATTTGCCGAACAGGAAAATATTATTAAAACATTCGAGATATAAGGGTGGAATACAGGTCGCACGACTTTTAATCTAGTTCCATTTTAATCATTTTAAAGGCCTGTAGACCTACGGATTGTGTCATATAATAAAAAAAACCCGTGATGGCATTAAAAATAACTGTGTTTCAATAATAGAGCAGTTGCCACTTGTTGCATATATTATGGTCTAAGTAAGTAGGTAACAAATATATTTTCATTTATGTACTAGATGCGTTAGCGACTTCGTCCGCGTGGAAAACTTGTTTTGGGCATCCAAATTTGTCCTTTATATATTACTTTATTCCTCATCTTTATAAATTTAAGCTGTTACCCACGACATCGGGCGCGTGCCGTCGCTCGCGGCCCACAGTTTGGGTCCCGTCGTTCTTGCAAGATAATCTTCAAAGATAGACATATAGTGTCAGTGTCCCGGACATTTTTTTAGATCATTTAAAAAGGAGTCATTCTTCATACATATTTTTAAGTATCTTTAACCGTCTATAGTTTACGCGAATAGTACACATTTAAATAAAACACTTTAACAAGACTCAGTCTCCCCGTGACCACGGCTGCTGCAAAGCATCCAAAACGTCGGGCCGAAGTTAAAAATCATTACCAAATAAGTTTAACTAATATATCGCGTTTTAAACCGTTAAAGTGTTTTTTTTTAAATATCTTTAACCGTTTTCGCAGCGTACCCATCGGAAACCCACAAAGATTAATGATTATCCTCATTTATACCACATTTCCCGTTGTATCTTCGCTGTTAGTCGCAGCGTGATGTTTTGTAGCCTTATATCCTTCCTCGATACATGTTCTTCCTAACACAAAAATTTCAATGCGAACCAGTAGTTGCTAATATTAGCGCGTTGCTACTAAGCATTCGAAACGTCAGGCCGAAGTTATATAAATCGTAAATAAGTAATATATATCGTGTTTTAAACCGTTAAAGTGTTTTATTTAAACGACACAATTACATTAATACAAGCGTAAAATACGTATAAGTTTTAGAGCTCATAATTAAAAATATTGAAATGCAGCACAAAGCCTTTCTTTTGATTTTTTCTGACTCCTAACTTCGGAATTATGAAAACAGTTGGGCGCTTTCAAACTTCAGAGCAGTGCATTCTGGAATGTTCTCGAAATTAGTTTATGAGTAGAATTCTCTGAGGACTCGGCCGTTTTATAAGTCGCAAGACTTATTTTAATGAGTTATAAAGAAAATTTCTTGCGTCGTTGCTCTAGCGGTAAGATAAACTGCCGATCACGAGCAATGCCTGACAGGATTCGAACCGAGGGCGATTTAATCCTGGACGTTACCTAGAAAAGTATTTTTATAAAGAATTAGTAAAAAAATAAGTAATAGCCCTACATAATCATTACTTTTCACTTTAGCGACTTCGTTGCCAATAAGAAATAAAAAAAAAATTTAATCGCGGTTCGGTTTCAGTCTTGTTTCACGAATGCCTAAAGCAAAATAGGCCACTGGTGTATCTTATTTAAAAGTATCTAAATGAAAAAAGATGAACCCTATGTTTTAAATGTTCTACTCTCTCATATAAAAGCCGTTAAAATGTTAGAATCTTAACAGTTAAGACAAAACATTTTAACGGAATAAAACGTGAATAATATTAGTTAACTTATTTACAATCTGTTTCAATTACGACGTTACCTATTCTTTGCAGTAGCCATTTACGTGTTTCAGTGTATTGTTTACTCAGTCAATATATTTCGCGTTTTAAACCGTTTTATGTAAGTATTAATCCTATTTACTGTTTATTCATTTAAATGCTTAAGACGTGAAATAGTACGCTTATTTTTTATTAATTTCATTTTTAAAATTTTATTTTGCTCCCCCGTGACTATGGCTGCTACAAAATATTTTATCTATTTCGCGTTTTAAATTACAGAAAGCACTTATCTTAACATTTTTTTAAGCTCAATGAAGTAAAGCGTCACTAAAGCGTGGGTGGCTCTACTGTGGTAGAACAAGCTCAACGTTTAATCCGATCGTTTAAAAACACAGTATTAACTGCTCTGAAGGGATTAATCCATTTTGAATGTCCCAATTTACATGTTGTTTTTTGCATTGGAGACTACGTACTACTATATACGTTTAGACTTTGTCGAGATTGAAAACTAGTGTTTTGCTTTTATTCATGGTACCCTTTGAAACCCTCTCTTAGAAATAGGACATTAAAGATCATCATGTACCTATAAGGCTATTGTTAATATATTTCGCGTTTTAAACAGTTATATTTAAATGTATCATACTCGCGTAAACTACAGACACTACAGCTGAAAGTACATTGTACAAATATAATGATTGTCTCTCCACAACAATCATAAGAATAAATATTAAAGTTAACAAATATATTTCGCGAAATTTAAAAGCTGTTACGATGAAGACCACTATATCCTGGGTTCAAATTCTGAGGTGTCAGCTAATTCCTCGGAGGGGACCTACGTTAAACCATGAGCCGTGAACATCACTAATATATTGGCAATACTTGGTAAAAGCCGCCAAGCACCATTGTAGCAGTGTGGTGGGTCTCCCTTTTGTATGCAAGAGGGGATTGTAACCCACTCGTGGGGATTTAATGATTCGAAATAATATTTTAAAATAATAAGTATTTAAGTTTTATTTTAAATATTACTTCCCGTATTCCACCTACCACTTTTTTCTTGTTAGTTTTCCACAACCGCAAACCTCGTACGACCAATACAAAGCTTCCAACGAGAAAATCTTATTATCATCGACTACTGTTCCAATAGATAAAAGTAATGGATGTTCTTTTATCTATTTTTTGTGAATGTAGGTCACGCTTGGGAAATTTAATCAGACAACCACAATAGTTCTAAGCTTAAATTTCTTTAAATACAATTCTAATTTCTTAAAAATATATTCACGTCTCTAGTCTACAGTACGCTTTGAATAATAAAAATTTTAATATTATATGTAGAAATTGTAAAGAGCCTTCGCGGCCATTTTGAAAAGCTATATGAAATTTTAAGTGTTAAACAAGTTTAATATAATAATTTCATAGATAAGACCTTAATTTGAATAGTGACGGGCGATGTCTCGAGGTGAATCACACTTGGTTAATATCTTACGAATATGGAACCGTAGTTTGTAGGTGAAAATTCTAATCTAATATGTTTTTCTTCACGTTTTCAACCAATTAAACTTTTTACCGTGTCTATGGTGAAGCTGGGAAGTAATTTACTCAGTTGAATATTAGGGATTTGTACCCAAAGTCCTCTCAATGGAGCTATTGCGATGTTGTAATTGAAGAATGTTTCTCGACGCTTCGCCGTCAGTGGATGAAATCTTCCGGAGATGAGCGTCTCTCAATAAGGCGAAAAATTAATTATGTTTTCTTTTCAATCATGACGCTCCATAAATTCGAAAGCCCGAAAAGTTATATTTTGTTTTATTATAGCGATAGTACGCCCAATATATATTTTTTCTATACAGTCGTAATGGAAGTCCATTACGACTGAATAGAAAAATATATTAGGAGTGACTTTTTTCCTAAAAAATATTTAAAAATTTACATAAGCACTTTTGCATAAAATATAAACCATCCAGTACCTACTCTACCTCTTTGTACTCTCATTAGACATTTCTCGCACGTAGTCATCTCGGCCGGACACAGTACGTCTCACTTATATTGTGTTTCGCACCTTTTTACAGTTCCAGGAAATAGTCTACGGAATATTTACTCTAACTCGATCATAAATGCCTACTTATTATTATTGGTCCCCCGTGACCACGGCCGCTGCTGTAACGTCGGTTGTTAACGTTAATAAAAAATACTTCACGTTTAGAACCGTACACAATCCTAAACTGTAGATAATAGTTATTCCTACGACTAAATATTTAGTCGTTTAACTGTTAGTAGCTCAATTGTGGAATGAAAGTGTAATCCCAATTTTCAACATCTCAATACTAAATAATTATTTAGTATTGAGATGTTGAAAATTCTACGCGGACGATGTCGCCGGCACAGTTACTAGCTGTACACAGCTGCTAGTGTATATTATATAGAATATCAACCCCTAACGTAAAATATAATCCAGTTACAATGAAACTACTATAGTCCTGGCAAATGAACGAAAATTATTCAAATCGGAACACGAATTTTGTTTACCCGACCGCAACACAGAACGTGTTTTAATTAAGCCTTAGTTAAACCGCTAATTTCGTGACCCGACCTCTGTTGACTGTGCTCTATAAAATAGGATTTTGACAGATTTCAAGTAATCCGCTTTCGCTAGTCATTCTATCTCTATCTCTATGCCTACGCACGAATAGATGATAATGACTATTTATATTTTTTTACAATTTATTCAAGATTCCGGAATGTTATCTGTTTACGCGTGTTGTGTACATTAAATTAAATACTTTATCTGTATTTATGATAGGATGGAGACAAAATAACAAGTGAACTACTCGATGGTCAATAAAACATCCCGCATATCAAGGACGTATCTTGGCTTTGGATATTCAGAAATGCACAGGCTGAAACAGAAATGCGATTAAACTTGACAGCTTATCATTTGTAGACAGTGGTTTGTGACCCGGGCAGAACTTCGATATTCCTACCACTCATTTAATATCCGGATTTCAAAACGAAATCCAACATGTTTGCATTAATTGCATTGAACATGATAAAAATGAAGGGTAACAATTTAGAAAAATAACCTCTTAACCGTTTAAAACGTGAACGGCTCCCTTGTTAAAAGAATGACTATTTCACCTTACTACTAGTAAAGGCTTAATTTTAATGACGAGGGAGCTTCGGCTAGTCGTAAAGATAGAGAATCTAGTGGTCGCGATAAGGGAGACCTTAAACTTTTTGATTACTAATTAAGGTACAGGTTATAAACAGGCAAGGTTTATAATCCTTTGTCTAGCGTATGATAATATATTTAATATACAAAATACGAACGCAATATCGTTACAAAAGAATTTATAATTGAGTGTCAATTTCATCCACGTCCGTATTCTTGAGACAGAATAAAGAACTATTAATGTATGAAATGTTCATGTTTCTAACATACAGTAATATAATACTAGCTGTTACCCACGACGTCGTGTAAGCTAATCTTAAGAGATTGGCATAAATTGTCGAAGACATTATTTTTGATTATTTAAATATCTTCTAGAACAATTTGAGCAGCACACAGAACGAAACCCCTCGAAGATAAATAACTTTCCCCGTTTTTTTCACATTTTCATCGTCTATCTCTATCCAACAACAAATAGATAAATGTTCAATTCCGGCGTTATAATATTAATGTAGATTAACATAAGAATGTCCAAATTTATATTCATAATAGAAGATAATTTGGTTCACTTCACAGAATTACAATCTCATTCTAATCATTTAATTAAAACGCGCTGTCGAACAATTTGGCTGTAGACATTTGGAAATATACCTACTGAAAGCGAAACATGGTTTCATCTCTGGAATGTGTAGAGTTTTAAGAAACATATTAGATGCGGTTTTAATCCAACTTACATTGATGTAGATCAAAATATAACTTCATTTTATAAAATGGTTACAGTTATAAAGCAACAGGTTTAGTCTTTTTTTCTCTTCGTATATTATGAACCAGAATATGCCTGGCCTCACCCGTTTTAGATTCCTGTCACGAGCGACCAGTTCTAATTAGACCTCCATTCGAAGTTCGCCAGACACGAGTTTCGTCCTGGCTTTGTGAGGTCTGGATAGATTTCTTAATCAGTTGCCGCTTGACTCGGTACCTATTGTCTTTTTTTTCTTTTATAGTTTGTTCATACTACAAAATGCATTTTAAGTTTGAACAACGTCAGATATAAGTACAGTATCTATATTTAAATACCGTATAATTATCGCTCACATTCTTCAAAGGTTCCGTTTTCAATGTTTTCAATCAAATAAAAAAATAACCTTATTACTAAGAAATTTTTGAAATATTGTATATTTGTTGCAGTTATAAAAAAAATTACAAAAAAATATATAAAAAATATGGTGTTCCTTAGTCTGTCTATGTTTACTTTAAACGTTTACTCTGATGATTATCAACTACGAAAAATTTTAACTAAAATATTACAACACAGGACAAACAAAAACAAAATACAAATGGATACGATTAATTACCAATTATAACAATGATAAAAAAGAAAAACATGATCACGATCTCGAAATAGTTTAAAATATCATACGGAAGACAGAAGAATTTAAAATACAAAAGTCCTAGTTCTTGCTGCAGTTTAATTTGAAACTGTCGAACACTTTGCATCGAATGCAATTTCACGGGACATTGAGGAGACCGGGGCAGCAAGTTGCTGTTAAATTAATACCTTTAGCGTTTATCGTTAAACGATTCTCTCAATATCTCCATCTTGCCAATAAAACTCGCCATTTAATCTGAATTGAACGAAAGTGGTAAAGTCGGCATATTGGAAGAACTCTTTTCATTTGTTCTTGGTAAGAAATGGTAAGAAAAATATATTCTGCACTTATGATTGTGATCGCCTCTGTAGTACAATGGCTAAGGAGAGATCTTAATTTAAAGCCTGAAGACACTAAATTAATACTTTCGGGCGTCGGCTTCTTGCCTGTAACTTGAACCGGTCAGTGATGGTAACTATAGACATTTCTTTACATTGTAGGGTTAGGTTTGGTTAAAAAAGGTTTTGCTAATGAATGAAGTACGAGATATTTATATGAGTTTGCCACATAGTTAATGTACAATATTTAAATAAATAGCTTATAACTAAAATACAAATAAAAACAAACAAACATCGCAACTCAACATTTAGCAAGAATTGAACGAGCCTACACCAAGACTGTTGTAAATCAATTTCTATTCGTTTCTGCACGGATCCGTTATTTGTACTCGGCCATCCAAATCTCTAATAACAGGTAATTCTCTCTCCAGATATCTCATGAATACATCGCTATCCACTCCTATTACTTCACTGGGACCCCGATTCTGTGATACCATCTGCAAGAAAAAAAATCAATAACATTGCAATCAAGTATTTGTCCCTAGTTTACGCGAGTAGTATATATTTTAACCAAATCTTTTTTAAAGCCACGTTAAGTTAACTAATATATTTCTCGTTTTAAACCGTTAAATGTATTTTATTTAAATAATCAATAACATTTCAATAATACTCCTAATAATCAACATAATTAAAAAATATTTCAAATTGTATTAATCATTTCGTATACATGATATGTCTTCGTGTATTGAAGATACCGTTAGTTTTTATACTATTACTACGTAATTCATGAAGTAACGATCGCCCGAACTGGCATTTTTACACCTAAACCTGTCTACTATACAAATATAGAATCGTATATATTGAAAAAAATTCACGACTTAAGACTCAGTAGCTCAATTGGTTAGAGCAACAGTTTAAGTCCTGGCCGAGTCGTAATTTTTCTCAATTTATTTTCGATTATTAATTTGTCTACATTTGACAACAATAGACTTTATGAACAATCAGCAAGTGAGGACGAGAGCAATTTCACAATTTTACTTCGCTTTGTTATAATCTGGCAAAAGGTAAATATAAAAGGGTGCGTCAAATCGTATCTAATGTTTCATAACTTTATATATACATAATCTCACGGTATTTTAACTTTTTACATTTCAGAACTGATACTTTTTATTTTTCTATAATTAACCTGGTATTCATGTTATGAATTTTACGCTTCACATATCAAAGCTAAATCTATATTAGGTGAAGCGTTATAATTACAATAATTATGTAATAACATAGAATATACAATATAGTCATTGACCATGTATGTATCAACTGTCATATAGATATAATATATGGCTGCTTCTCTAAATGAACATATAAGACACGCTAGCTTAGAGCACAGAACATTGTGGATACCGGTTCGAGTCACTTTTAATTTATATAATGTAAACGTTTTAAACAATTAGTGTAGTATAAAGCATTTTGATGTCACACTTTATAAAAACTAAGCTGATTAAATACTGTCTATAGTTTACGCGAGTAGTACACATTTATACAAAACACTTTAACGGTTTAAACCGCGATAGACAGATACTGTCTGACGTGACCACGGCTGCTGCAAAGCATCCGAAACGTCGGGCCAAAGTTAAAAATCATTTTTTCAAATAAGTTTAACTAATATATCACGTTTTAAACCGTTAAAGTGTTTTATTTAACTGAGCTGATATAAAAATTGTATAAGGCTTTTGCGGCTTTTTTGCAAAGCTCATCGGCTTTCAAGCTGTTTATCCGTCGAGCTCGATACATCGAGAACGCTTTCACAACTACGATGGTCGAAAAACCCGAAAACCCGAATGGGGTTCTCTTACATATTTGAATAACAAACAAATGAATACAAATGGTTTTAAATTAATTAAATATTTTACGTGGAAACTATTTAATTTAATACAAAGCCGTTTAAATCCATCAACCGCTAAATCCTAAATCACGTATGCAATCACATAATAGGAAATGCAAACCACGTAGCAATACCAAATGCGAGTCAATTTAGCGGATTTAACAAGTATTTCATTTTAGCTAGCCGAGATTGAACCTAACTGGGTTCGATTTAAAACGATTTATCGAATAGATATACGTGGCTTTGCTCGCGTGTCCATTAAAAAAATGTTAGAGATATAAGATACTACAAGACCTTTCATAGGTCATCTTCTTTCGTCCAATTCAAATACATATTTCCATATTATATGTATAGAAACTGCCTGTCCTGTTCTGTACTACAGAAAAAGAAGAAGTATAATCCAAGAAGAATATTAATAATAATATTCTATTTTTATGCTATTTATAAGCTATTTTTCTCTTATAATTCTTCTATAAAACACGTCACTTTTATGGAATGGAAGACTAATAATCCCCGGGTTTGCTTCCCACAGGGACCGACGTGTTTCTAATGAATTAAGAACTTTTCTGAGACATGTCGGTTATCCAAACCCAAAATAGGTAGGTAGACAACGCATTTTGATTAGATAAACCTCTAGCTTGTCTGCCCTCCTCTGTCTTTAATATTTAATAATGTATGAAACATTAAAGATGAAACACCCCCGCATAACCATTTTGTACCTACGAGCGCACCTTACGTGCTGCTTTAATCAATTCCAACTTCAACTAACTCCCACGCATCATTGTGAATTTCCTTCAGTGTATTTTTACATGCAACTCATGCGCAATGTAATTTCAAACTTTACAACACTACTCGTGTATAGTGGTTACGCGTGTGGTATCCTTTAACTAAACCAGTTTTTATATATATTGTATACATACTGTTCTGTTATATCTATTTAGCTACAGACATTTAGGGCACTTTAGCAGCCGGGTCGTAATTAATTTCGTGTTTTAAACCGATTAAAGTGTTTTATTGCTTATAATATATAAATCAGAGGTGACAGCACCAATTACAGTAATTATACGAGCATTCACGTTCATTATAGGGCGTCATATAATTTAGTCGTATGAACGGAATTAGAGCAATATCGAAACATCATTAACTGCAAATGAAGCGTTGAGAACATCATTGTACTAATTGGTGATAATTAACTAAATTAAGTGACGGTAGTTTGGCTTAATTATTTATTACCGGGCTATAATCCTACTGGGACTCATAATAGAGAAAAAATATATTTCGGGGACGCTTAAACATTGAAAATGTTTACCAACTAGATTACGTTATTATTTACATAATCCTAAATCTGTTCTAGTGCCCAGACTTTATTTTTAATAAACACAAGGTCAAAAATGTTATAGCGATAGCGCATAGAAATAGTTTTTAATTGTTAATCATGCCAAGTCATTTATTTGTTATATTTGAGTTTGCAATGCAATTTTTGAATACGATATTTTTTAAGGACAGAAAAGCATGGTTCATTTTGTGTTAATTTAATGAAAGGTGAAATACCCTAGCCATATAACATCTTGACAAAATGAAGTGATATGTTGAAAACCAACAAGTTGAAAAAAATATCCCCACAACCCACGACTCGCTGATAATGAGTCATACATTGCTATCAATAGAGCAACGAGCCATTGAGATAATTCATACTAGTTATAAAAAAAAAATAATATTATAGTGGTCAATTCTCAAAAATCTTTGGAATATTAACGCCGACATAAGTCGCCAATTATGTCAAATGAATGTCGACGAATCTTACTTTTTAGAGAATTGCCATAGTCTCTCGAAAAAGTAGTAGTCGACATCTCTTACTTACAGTAAATGCATCCCCTCCGTCTGCCAAGAAGTTTTGCGATATAACTTTATACGTCTTGGTTGGTTCCAGGGGTTCATACCGGGGCACTTCGCATTCAATGCAGCGGACAGTTACGTTTAGAACACGTTCGTTTCTCGGTCTCGACCCGTCGAAACTTACGCGTAGACCTGGGACAGTAATTTATTTTTTTTCCTTTAAATGTACAAAATCACAACGTGATAATATGTTAACGGGGTTTTTCATCATTGAATCGAATTGAAGGTATATCACTAAATTGGGAATTGCCCCAGCAGCATGTGAGGAGAGGTGTAGTAGAATAGTGGGGTGTATTAAAGTAGATATTGTCTGTAATTTTCGCGAGTAATACACATTAAAATAGAACATTATTAACAGTTTAAAATGCGGAATGTATTTGTTATCTTACGTGTAATTTATTTTAATTACTGCCCGACTATTCGGATGCTTTGCAACAGTTAGATAAGTTGAATAATATATTAAAATAAACAGTTTAAATAGTTTTATTTTAATATTCTAAAATACTTATATCTTTTGTAAGGGAAGATTCTGAATTGTGTTTCTTTAATAACATTAAACATGAAAATAAAGTGTAATGGTGCATATAGCTTTAACATATTGAAGAAGATATATTTCACAATATTGTGTTACAAAGAACAATCCCTCCTCTCGCGAAATTTAATTAATGAACCAAATAAGTTCGTACCGGAAAACTGCAACATCCTTGCGCCAGGCCAAGGTTGGTTAGCTACGCTGTACTCCAGCATTTCAAGTATGTGATCTCCCCGCAAATCGAATACTTGGACAGTATTCTCAAACGGCATTGATACCAGCATGGACTCAAAGGAAATGTCTGAAAAAAGTTAAGGGAAATGTAGTTGAGGGTAATTGACCTTTTATGGGGTTCCGTACCCAACTTGGGTTCGATTCGGGCAGGACTTGAACCGGCATCGTCAGCGTTCCGTGCTGTTCTACCAATTGAGCTACCAAGTCCTACACCTCATCGTCGATTTTTTTCAACTTATTGATGCATGCACCTCTCGTGCAATGTTTTTTAATTTTTTTTCAATTCATTTTCGATTTTAAATTATTCCTATAGTGCCTTTTTTAAGTTTTACGTTTAAGTATAGAGAGTTTAAGTAGTTTATACGAGTACCTAGCACTCATTCTAAAATAAAGTTTAAATTTATAATCAAATCGTAAATTTTGTATTCGGATCTATTAAAACACATTATAGTAGAATATTTCTACTCCACATAATACTCGTAAATACAGGCTGATGTCATTTCCTAACATTCTAGCAGATTCATGAATAACCAACATCCCTTGGCTTCCGAACACTTGAACATTTCAGACGCACTTAAGTGGAATGTAATGGTCAGTCGTCGGTTACCCCGAGCCGAATGTAAACGTAAAGTGGTATAAATATATAATGATGTTTCTCGTACCTCCATCGGAGATATCAGCTCGAATAGCTCCTCTGTTCATCGCGCAGAAGTGTGCGTAATGCCATCTGTCACCTGAAGCTCTATCCAGCGCCTTAAACAGATCAATTACAACGGCTTTAAAGGAAAGACTTTAAACAGTTTAAAACTCCAAATGTATTTGGGAACTTATTAAAACTGTATTTTATTTACGGCCCGACGTTTCGTGATGTGTCCCATTGAAACCACGTGTGGCCGTAGCAAAATAAATGGAAACGAGTTAACTAATATATATCGTCTTTTAAACCGTTTAAATTGTTTTATTTAAATATGTACTGCTACTTAAAGGTGTAACATTCATCTTTAATTGTTCGGCTTTCTACTTTCATTGTTTACAATGAACCGTTCCCGGTTATAGCAATTAAACTTACTGCATGCATAAAGGCATCACAAATCAGGTTCCCCAGATTACATTCGCCGCAGCGACAGTCCGAAGACAGATGTACTTTCGATTCACCGACCTTCCTTCGAGCTAATTCGTTTATTCTTGGCAAATACTGATTGATTTTCTCCATCACCTCCGCATCTGTAATATATATGTAGAATTAATTGTACTCCTTTAAATAAGACTGTTATCGTTTTAAAATGCCACGTATTGTAGTTAACTTGTTTAAACATTTATTTAAACTACAGTAATCGTGGTTACGAAGGGCAACGTCTTTTCAAAGAGTAGTAAGTAAATAGTTAAATAATAGTTAACTGATATATTTCGCATTTTAAGCCGTTAAGAATGTTCATTTAAATTATTTTTGTTTATAGGTAAGTAAAATTGTACATAATCTTTCTATGGTTTAGAAGATAAAGCTTGATATAAAATTTATTAGGAACTCATGTTATAAATATTATAAAAAGCATAGAATTATAGGGTGTAAATACTGTAGTGTAAAGGAAAATAAGAAAACGGATACAGAGAAAAATGTATTACTTAATTCAGTAATTTATTAACTTGAGTCAAATCATTTCACCAATTGTAAGTAAATTTCACAGCGATTAAGATTACCCTGTGCGACATCATTTCCAAGGTAATGTGGGTGCCCATTCCAGTCAAGAAGACGACCGGCTTCATCGAAAACTAATCTAATCTCTCCAAGAAACTCTGTGTGCGCGGCTGCTTGTACAATCAAAACCTTAAAAGAAAAATTATATATATAACAAAATACAACGCCCTTTTGTATTCACTCATTGTGCTGAAATGATATTCAGAAGCTTACTTTCCCCGAATCATTTTCAACTACAAGAGGATAAGGTCCGTATGGATTAAATGTAGTGTTTTCTGGTGGGGTCCCATTGTACAGCAGCGTGTGACTATGTCCTCCAACAATTATATCAATGTCAGGTCCAGCACGACGGGCTATCTCTCTGAAATAGAAGATTTTAAATTTAAAAAAATATATTTAAAATTTATGAATACTAATTATTACACAAAAAATAAATAAAGTGGATTATCTAAGAAGATAAAGATTTTTGCGTCATTTGATTCATTTGATTTTATTTTTACGGTAGACATAACGTTTAATACAAAAAATAGTTTAAGCAATAATACCACATTCTGTATACATACTGATCGATTTGAATACCGCAATGTGATAGAACTACAATAATATCAACGCCCTGCTGAGTTAACTTTTCTGCTTCTGCCTTTACTGCTTCTACTTCATCTGTGAACTTTAGTTTTCCAGTCATAGCTAACTCCTAAAATGTTTAAACTTCTTCAGCTTTATCGACTTTAGGTTATTTAATTATTGGTGTTAAAACTTTACTTACATTAGTATTTGCTATAATAACGCCAATAATACCAATTCTTCTTCCATTCTTTTCCACAACTATGCTTGGTTTGTATAAGCCTTGAATAGACGGTTCTTCGTCAGCTAAGATATTTGCAGCAACTACTTCGTGGTTTAAATGTTGAAGGTACGGCACTAAATCTGGTAATCCATGGTCAAACTCATGATTACCTAGTACCTGAATATTTGAATGAGAATTTTCTAAGAGTAGTCATAGATAGTATAAATATTATTGTGGATTAGTGTCATATTAATGGAATGAAAACTATTGTTGTCTAATAAAATAATGTTATGTTGAAATTTACGTGTAAAGTACTAATTGCATTTAGTAAATTAGCTTGTACAAATTGTAAGGACGTACCTATTATAATTTTTGCACGTATCTTTGTTTATTCGATTCTCTATGTGTACTTACGTGTGCATCATGGTAAATCATATTCATAAAGTCTTGCGTGACATTCCACTTCATTAAGATGTACCATATAGTTCCTTGGAAGCTGTCACCACCGTTTAGGACTAGCGAATTCGGTTCATCTGCAACTAGTTCTTTAATCCTTGTTGCTAAGCGGCCAAATCCCCCAATACAAGGCGCTACAGCTGGTCTACAAGAACCACCGGTGGGACTGATTTCCATAAACCTTGCAATGGAAAAAGGATATTAAGTAATCCAACCAAAGTTTTTTTTAATATTTTGAATTAAAGCTATTTGGATTGATTCTATTTTTTTGAACCGCCCACCAAAATCACTATTGATGAAAATAAGGTAGTAGATTTTTCTTTCCAAATAACATTTTTCTAAGACCAACAATTGTATTTATAGTTTAAGAAATATTATGGTTTTATGAGATAATGAAAAAAATCATTTGTTGTGAGACAAATTTGATCTTAAGGTTGAAGTGGGTGCCGTGGGTAGAGAGAAATAGTGTCCAGCTTTTCAGACGGAGTCTTCATATTTCTATCGTTTCAGAATAATAATACATTTATTTTACAAATATGTTAGACCCAGTGGAGATCGAACTCAAAACCCCTTCATTGTTTGCCATACATTGCCACAATGCGACCAATGTGCCAAAAAGCTTCTAATAATAGACTTTTTTTGTAAAATTTTGACCCCAACCCTAAAGCTTGCTTGGGGGGCCCCTTTTTTTTTTTTTTTTTCCCCCCCCCCCGGGGGGGTTTTTTTTTTTTTTTTTTAAAAAAATTTTTTTTTTTTTTTTTTTTTACCCTTTTTTTATTTTTTAAATAAAACCTTTTTTTTTTTTTTTTTTTTTTTTTTTTTTTTTTAATGTAATTAATATTTTTACCACAAAATATTCTCGAAATTTTTTACAAACTTTCTAATTAAATTGTAATTTCATTTCATACCTGGCATGGAAGTCGTTGTAATGTATAATATTCAATTCATAATTCTGACTAAACACAGCGACAAACAATCCTAGAAAAATTAATTCCCGCATTTTCACATCTCACTCACTTCACGCCTAAAATAAAACTAACTCACTTTATCTGATAAAACAATTAAGGTGATGTCTAAACATAATCCCTTTATATTTCAGGAGTTTCAATAAAGTGGCAAAAGAGATAACAATATCGTATGCCCAGGGTACTAATTACTTTCGACCTTAGTGTGTTCTACACAGACCGCCTATTCAAAATAATTATTCAAATGAAACACTTTTAACGGCTTTAAACGAGAAACAATACGCAAATTATACTTCGTGACTACGGCTACTGCAAAGCACTCGAAAAGTCGGGATGTAGTTTAAATAAATTTAGAATAAGCTAACTAATACATTTCGTGTTTTAATTAGTTTAAACTATTCTATTTAAATGTATTCTACTCGTGTAGACTATAGACAATACTGTAATTAATGATGAATGCCTTGATATCATTTACATTAAAAATTAACAACCGCACTTTTTAAACTATATATGGACATTGTAAAATTAACAATTTCTATATTATAATTATGAATATCTCAATTTAAAGATATAATATTGAGATATGTTATTATTAAGAATTAAAAAAAACCTATTGATGTCCCACTGTTAGCCTTTAAAAGCTACACCCACTAGTAGACAAGGCAGTTATTAAAACACCAAAGAGAAACCAACTTTTTCATCCTTTATTTCCAGTTCAACCGTCGCCTAAGCCCGTGACTGACATTTTGCAATCTATCAGAAGTTAATAAATTATGGATACAATATTATGGAAATTGCAAAGCGAGAGGACTAGACTAGGTTTAAACTAGTCTAACCTCAAAATAGATATCATCGATCATCCGTTGGAGAAAAAATGAGATATTCTGGTTTTCCTTTATATATACAATAAGAAATACATATTATTACTGTACTAAGATATATAAATAAATTTCAAGCCACTATATGGTACCTGTGAAGTATCAACAACTATATATATATGTCTATATCTCTTACGCAAATAAATATTAGAACGCGAAATATATAAGTTAACTTGTCTAGAACTAATTTTAACTATGGTCCTGAAGTTTCGGATCCTCTGCAACAGCCGTGGTCACAGGGGGCTGAAAATAAAGGTATTTTAATGTCATAGTTATCTGCTACGCTAGCGCCATCTGTTTTCTCGTAGTTGATTTTTTGAGGGACTAACTAGGCCCTTACGTGTACGTGGTACCTTTTAAAAATTTATTTCATTCTTAATATACGTAATTTCGGTTTGTTTTATGTAGTATATTTTACATAAAATTTTTATGTACAGTAAATAACTTCTTGTATTTTGTTGAGATTTCATTTACAATTTCAGTTTAAAAATTGATACAATTTCTATTATTAAATAAATTTTTTAATTCAACATCTACCACTCGCGAACTCAATGAGTATATAAAAATGTCGAACTGACCAAATATTATACAATATATTTAACGGAAGTAATACTGTTCGTCAAGAAGGAAGTTCATTCAACATCATTCCAAACTTCACTCTTTAAAAGTTAAACAATTTTCCACTAACTTCGGAGTAAGGATAAGCATACGATTCTACTTTTTTGAGATATTTCTTATGTCAAAGTGTTTCACCTATTTTATATTGCTTCTTAGTTTCGAAATAAATTCTATTGTAGACCGAAATATCGTAAGAGTGGTTAACTAATTAATAACGTTCGTATATTTTTATTAAACATTTCAAGGTTCAAGCCCGGCTTAAAAGGCGAAATATATAGCTTATTTTTATTTAATTTAGCTAGGGCTGGATGTTTCGGATTCTTTGTCAGTAGCGTTATTTTAAAATAATAATAATAAAACTCTTTGTTGCACAACACTTAAAATTACATATACAAAATAATACATTTTTTTGCAAAGGCGGCCTTATCGCCTATGGCAATTTCTTCCAGGCAACCTTTGCTTGTCGAATTACAAAAAAAGTGTAAACGCAAGCTATTGATCTGATTTCTGACATTCTTAACCCGTTTGTTCGTCATCGTCACAACGCGTTGCCACCTTCTCCCCAAGGTCTGACTGCAAATAAGTAATAAGGATGCGTAAACATAGCTAATTGAAATTTTAGCTAGAAAACTTCTGGCTGAGGAACTTCCTTACTTCTAATTAAGTGATGAATTATGTATTGAAATACTTTTGTCCCCTTTCCTACCTCCCTAAATCTATTTAAGCGGTCTAGAAAATACAATTTTAATAACTATGACTTTTTACAAATCCAATTGTTCAACCGAATTGGATCGCAAGAGATCATGGATTCAAACTCTGAAGTAAAGTATTATGTAATGTCTGTACTTTACGCGAATATTGCACATTTAAATAAAACACTTTTAATGGTTTAAAACGCGAAATGTAACTTTATATTTATTTTCCCCGTAAAGCATCCGAAATGTCGGGCCATTGTAATAATAAGTTGTAATTGTTAAAATAATTTATTTATGTTAAGTAGTGTTAATGAACAGCGTATAGAATTTCTACTGGCACGTAAAAAGAAATAAATGTGTCTTTTCTCTGATCGAATTTGGATGGACTTGTAGGAACGGTTGTCACTTTTTTAAATTATTTCAATGATAATTGTTTAGTATATGATTAAATACTGAAATCTGTTTCAAATATTCAAATTTTAAATCTAGAAGAAGCACAGTTTGTTTATCGTTAATCCGAATTAATCTTAATCTAAAACACTAAACCTCGACTTCACAGATAATACTCATATCAAGGCAATCGTTTTAGTTATAGCGATACGAGATAAGTAATGTCATAATCTCTGCTGTATAAAAATAAAAATACATATACAAAAATATGTTTTATATATAGTTCCAAAGATGGATCGTGGGTTCGATTTCTTTACCAAGCCTTTTTAAATTAAATAAAATGTGTGTTCAGATTTACTCGCAAGAACCAGACGGTAATCAAAAAGGTCGAAATTCATATATTATTACCAATTATTTAAATTAAAACCCATTGAATTGAAATGATTTGAGATGTGTACCGATTTGCACTAATTGAGCACGGAATGCTATAGATGGCGTTTCGATCTGTCGATTGGCGACGACTAAGATGTGAAAAATATTAAGGCTTTAAAATACCAATTGCTTGTTAGATAGTATTTAGTTTAACTATACGACGACATAGTTACAGTCTGTAAGAAATATATCTTCCTTTTTACGTATCACATAGCGATAGTTCGAAATCCGATATCACTGTTGTTTTTCTCTGATTGGACCTCCGTTATTCAGTTGTATATCGAAAGGCGAAATCCTAAAGAACATTGTGTCAATCTTTGTCAGATAATCTTATTTAGGCTACGTCAAATGAGACGTCTTCGAAAAAACTACACGACTTTACCGTGAAAATATATGTTGGCTAAATAAAATGGATGAGAGTAGAAATAATTTTAGTTTCATTATATGTCAGATATAACTTACATTGTGTTAATAAGTCAATGTTTTCTTGATTGCAAGATTTAGCACTAGATGTCACCTGTTACACCGCGATATCGTTGTGATGCATTAAAATAGTGTAAGTGCAAGGTAGTGTAAAAAAACCCTAGTCCTAGGGGCCTTTCCCCCGTCGGGGTACTCTTGGTCTATCGTTAAAACATGGTGAGCTAAAATGAACTTCGTGACCCGGACGGAATTTATATATATCTATCCAGTAATTAGATATCCAATTACGAAGTCCAACATGTTTCGGAGGAATTATAAATTTAAAAAAATTTGAAACATGCATCGAACCCGTTGATTATTTATGCAATATGGCTGGTCAAGTGAACATTGCTACCATTTGACTAACGAGCCCGTCAAACGGTGTTTCATTGTATTCAATATACTAATTTCATATTTTTAATCTTAGAGTACACAAACCGTGTATCTGGTAGCGGTAACAGATATACGAAACTTGAATTTATGTGACAGTGTATTGATATAATCTAACCGAGCGAACATTTCTGTCTATTGAAATTGATGCATATCCCATTATTATAATTCAAACACTGTGTGGTTCTTAATTGCATTTGAATATCGGTTATAATTATGCAATGTTTAACGTCAATTTATACATTAAGCCCATTTTATCGGGCATATAATTCGGATAAATTAATTATTCACGATATTAGGTTGTTTTAATGTTAGAATTTATTTAAGAAAATAGAAATTATATTCGATTATTTATTAATAATGTGTAAACATCTTTCATAATTGAAAATATCTAATTTAAGAAATGTAATACTTATGTTCCTTTGGATATTTACTGCAACTACGGTTGATTATTTTAAAATCTTAACTAGAGTTTATATATAAGATATTTTATTTGCGATTACAAGAAAATATATAACGAATATTTCTTTAGAACGATGTGGGTGCCGATTCAAGCCCCACCTGTGTCATATTTTTTTTTATTTTAATAGATTTTTAATTTACATTAAATTTCTCCTTCTGTCTCGAGTTAATTTTTAACATTGTTTTAATTACATTATATATTTTAATAGCTTAAAACACAATACATATTAACTTATTTTTAAATTCGACACGATCCGATCGTTTCAAGTGATTTTTATAATTATTTATTTGCAAGGCAAGCTAACGGCACCCATCAATGAAGAATGGAGATATTTATCACACATATAAAACTTTATAGGCGTAAGCTTATTGTCCTTCCTGAAACGAAACATAATTAAGACTGCGTACGTCGTCTCGAAAACATCTACGGAGCGTGACGAATGTTAACATCTAAATAGGTTAACTCGATCCAAAGCACAATTCTATTTTAACAACCCTCACAATTTACGACGCCGTAAAGTGCAGCATTCGTAAAATGTTGGAATCAGATAACATTAATAGGACGTTTATATCTCTTTGAGGCCTGTTGGGTGCTTATGCCAGATGTACGGTACCAGCTTTATGCCTTTGATATGTTGAAATTGAACTTTTAATATTTTTCACATTCTTTTGCACGTGATGTCGAATACTGAAGAGGCTCCTAGATAG